CAACAGTACATTCAGAGGTGGAAGATCCCCTGCAAGATTTTGAGAAGGTCTGAGGAGATGCAAGCTCGCCTTATTCCTTTTTTTTTCTTTTTTTTTAACTAAAATTTCCTAAATACATTCAATAAAATATAATATTCAATTAGTTGTATTCTCAAATGAAAAGTATATGTGGATTTAAAGTGATTATAACATTACAAATACTGTATACATTGTTATAGTAGTTTACCTTGAAGTGCACACCAACCCAAAACAGTGTTGGTGTGCACTTCATACATATTGGAGTAATTTATCTTCTACTGAACCCCCCCCCCGCCACTGCCTCTTTGTTCTTTGGTTCTAATGCAGGCATGTCCAATCCCAGGCCTGCGGGCCAATTGGGGCCCTCTATGACTTTTTATGTGGCTTTAGCTGCAAACACAAAGGCACCATTGAGGCACTTTGACAGTGTCATCCAACCGACTTCAGCTCCATCAATACAGTCATGCTATACCTTGTTGTAAACCTCTGGAATCCAGTCGAGGCCAAAACTGTTAAATACTTACATTTTTTTAATGATTATGCCACAACATTTCAAATAAAATGCAGCTATGGTGTGAATCAATAAGGACGTATCAAAACCCATTTTAAAATCCAGAATCCACTCAATCTAGCTCGAATCCAGGTTTTGAATCCAGGTTGTCGGCCCCAGGTCAAGTAGGATGGACTGAAATGGCTCTCTTACTAAAAAGTTTGGACGCCCCTGTTCTAGTATGTGATACACAAATCCACAAATGTATCACCAGAAAGCTAGCCTAAGGTTCCACACTCAGAAAACCACTGATGTAGAAGATACAACCTTTTTGGACTAATAAATAAAGTGGAGCTTGGAGCTAAAAATCTTGAATAAGTGGCTTTTCTGCATAAAAGGCTGTGCATGCAGATGTCCTGCTGACATCACACAGATGTATTGTGCCTTTTGTTCTCCTTTTGTCTGTCCTACTGTGCGGCTGATGCTGGTTATTCCTCATTTGCAACATTCTGTCTACATATTTGAATGTTTACATTTGATGTTGCATTTAGCACAATACAGTGAAACGACTCAATGTAAGCTCAAGTGTAACAATCGTGGACAGATATAAGAAATCACAGCATTAGGACCAAAAAAAGACTCCATCCTTCCACAGAAACACACAGCTCTAAAACAGGAGCTGCTGCTGTGATCGGCCTCCGCGTCAGGGATGATAAAATTGTATTTCTGTTGCCTAGCACCCGTTTGTTATGTGCACGTCGTTTCCATTCACCATCTGTTAATGCACAGTTACACTTGAATCTGTCCGTGCGCTGCAGGTTCATCGCAAAATTTGCACTTATTCTATTACGATGCCAGGTTTATACACAATGGCCTTTAATCATTTTACGTAACTCTCTTCTGTCAACAAATGCAGAGCCTTTTCACAAAGTACTGCTCCTCTTTGTGATCATCATGGAGGATTAGAACTATTAGACATGAGACTTTCCAAAAATACAATAATGCATGTTTCTGGTCAATTTAAATCTGTCAATATACGCACAAACTAATGTCTAATCAGGAGCATATATCACCTAGTTAATTATTTACATCATCTGTAACAACAACATAAGTCAACAAAAGAATAAGAAATTATGTGACATTGAAGAGTTAATATTATAAACTTTTTTTTTCACTTTTCCATCTACAAATTACAAAATTGTTTGTTGCCTGTTTTTGTTGTTGCCAATCAACTCGGAATCCATGCACTCTTATGTCTGACTCCTTGTTGACACGGCCATCGCACACAGGATCCTTCATCAGCGTCTGGATCAAAGCATGTTGTTGTATTTGCTTTGGTTCCACTGAGCTCTTCAACATGGACTGTCAAGAATCTCTCAGTGTACGATATTGTGAGAATGTATCTCACAGGCAGCTATTCTCCTGACCCATATAAATGTAATGTATCTATACTCCACATTGTCTTCTTCAACTGTAGGTGATTTATTACACTGCAGATATCTTTTAAATCTGAGTGTATGAATAAAAGTACAAGTTGGATCTGCCAGCTTTGCAACAATGAACATGGAAGCTTATTTTGTCTGACAACAACAAACATGTACATCTTAATCATGCCCTTGTCCGCTTCAGGCTATGTGCTGAAAACACTATTAAGCTTATCATTACTCACAGTGATGGCCCTGGTTGACTAAATTGATTCTAAATGGTTCATAGTTTGACAAATGGGGTATATTAGGATGTGATAGGAGTCTTGTATGGTACATTGTCAGTGGTCTGCACTGTAGGCAGCAGCATTTTCTTCTGCATTAATCCCAATCTCCAATGATTTTTATATCTCTCCTGTACATCGTCTTTGATTATTACAACTAAAACTTGCTAATTTACAGTTTTGGCAACTCATGCACAACCCTAATGTCAACGAAAACAAAACAATGCTCCAGCTACTAACATTTTTATTTCTGCAACGGTACATTTTACTTTAAGACGAACTCTGCACTCTTCTAAAATACTGTAGTGTGCCATATGCTAACGCAGGGAGAAAATGCCCACTTTGAAATCCAATGAATTCAAGGATCAAAGCCTTCTAACATGTTCCGAGTCTGGGCGGGCAGCAGTGGTGGGTGTGGCGCTCTGATTGGACCGTTGACAGCCGTGTTTTGACAGATTATGGGCGATAAAACCAATGACGAGACAACAAATGCAAATTAGCTGGAACATGAATACTGTTTTACATGAATGAGACTGTTGCACAACATATTGAGTGAAAGGATTACATTTTGGGAAACTGTATTCACTAATAACTAAATATGTTTTTTATCTGATGCGCCACCATCAGAAAGCTATGTACTTCAATCGTTAGACCACAAACGACATTTATCGTGTTAAATGCAATAGTCTCTCTCTCTCTCTCTCTCTCTGAATGCTCTCTTGAGGAACAGTATGTTTAGTTTAGTTGAATATTTGTTGATTGGATGAACTAGGGGTGTTTGGAACTTGGAGACATTATTGGTGCAGTCATTATTACATTACTAAACATCTAGGCTAAACATTTTTTTTAATATATGTTTTATTTCTAAGCAAAGTGTTGTTATTCTTATTATTATTATGAATTGGTCACAGATTTGGCTTGTACCTTGGCTTCTTGTCAAGTTGAATTAGAGTGGTACCCCTTCTTGCAACATCTCAATGCTAACAAAAGTAGCAGAACCTTCTTCAAGTGAGACACTTCAAGCCCTCAAAGTAAAAAAATATAAGTTTGTTTTTTGTTTGTGAGAAGAGTATATTGTTTAAATATATCCTCCAACCTTTTTGAGAAATGACACACCTTTTTCACAGAAAACGATCACAGGGCTCACCCCCAGCTGAAACTGAAACAAACTCTGAAGTCTTTTTTAACAATGTACGTCATCCAAGTGCATTGTGTAGAAAATCAAACAAGCACTAAAAAGTCTTTCTAATCTTTTCACATTATTTTGATCAATTAGGCGATATTAGATAATAAATAGTCACACCAAACAACATCTCAAGGCACACTAACTAGCCAGGGCTCACGGGTTGAAAAACACTAGTTTGTCATCCCAGTAGAAGTGAAAGGTCATTAATCTATCGAAGTGTTCTATTTTGTTCTTATTAAAATGACTCTTTTTGTCATGGTGTAGATTTTATTTTGGACTTTAGCTTTATTTTGATATCTGTTCTCTGTGCTTTGGTTTTAGTTTGACTTTGACGCTCTGTTTCCCCTGTCTTGATGGTCTGCCCCGCCCTAATGTGTTTCACCTGTGTCTGTCTATAATTACCCTGTGCTCCTCTCCTCTTGTTGCTGGTCCATTGTATTGTCAACTTCTGTTCTGTCCTGTTCCTGATTTTGTGTTCCTGGTTCTGTATTTTGGATTTTGAGTTTTGTTTTCACCTGGACATTTTTTATTAAATCATTATTTTTTTGCATTCCTGCATTTTTGGGTCTTCATTCACTTCATCACATGACACTTTTTGTCATTTATGACCATTCTAAAGACAGTTTAAAGACCTTGTAGGAGGATAATCTTCCCCCAGCATTGCTCCTAACAACCCTAAATCATTCCCAATGAGCTATTTATGTCCACTGAGATATAATTCAATATCCAGCTTCCTGCTGATGATCTCAAATTCAATTGGCCCAGGACCGCGGTGATGGGAGCACGGCCACAATGAAGCAGCCGTATTTCAAAAGAAAGTCACACATGTCACGGTTTAATGCACTGTAAAGACTGACTTTAATCTCGCTTTAATCAAGATCAAGGTGCAGTCATTCATGAAGTGTCAGGGATCAGCCCCAAAACATTATAGATTATGAAAGCCATATCAAAAATGGAAAGATATGAACTAAAAAAAAAAGATTTCAACACAATGCCAATAGATTAATTTGAGTCATAAAAGTTGCTGATGCCTAAATGTGATGATATATAAACCATAATGTACTCTTTATGTTATTGTTTGGTGAACTGTATTGCATTGTATTGTACTGTATTGTTATTGTTTTTTTTTTTTTCTGTCTTTGAGCATCTGTTGTGCATATGTTCTATATATGTTCTGCACAGTACACTGTGTACTGTGCAAATATAGACTGAACTGAACTGTCCATCAGTGGGGAATGTCAATGTCACAGTTGCACACATTAGAGCAGAATAGAGGAGAAAGAAGTATAGATGTTAGTTTGTACCAGACCCTCCTGTCCCCCACCTGCCGCACTGGGTCCAGGGAACAGCCCAGGACAGAGCTGGACTGATGACCAGCCTCTTCCTGTCCCTCTCTGTGATGCTGTTGCTCTGGCAGACTACTCTGTACAAGATGGCTGACGCAACTACTGAGTATTTACATTTCAATACTTATATTTCAAAGCATGAAACACTTATCAAGTTCTGCAAGCAAATATGACTGAGAAGGTGCAGCGTTCAACCCTGTAATAATCTAATGTCTGTGTATTTGATGCATATCTAGAACTCAATGGTCTTACCTTTGCTGCCACGGATGAGCTGGGCTTCTCCAGCAGATCCCACAGTTTCTTGCGTTTCTCCGCGCAGCACGTGTTGTCGAACTCCTCCCCCTCTCTGTCCTTTAGGTTGTCTGCTTCCCTCTTCAGCTCCTCATTCATCTGCTCCTTCTTCTGGTGGTACCTCGCCTGGCAGCAGGACTCCAGGTAGATCTCATCGATGCCCCAGTAGTCCAGCTCCTGACTGAAGGACAGGGCGCACATCTCCTCCATCATGTGCAGTTTTCCCGTGCGGTAGAAGTTGAGGATGGACGTGAACGCTCCGGGATGGCGGTCAAAGAAGTACTCGTTCTCTTCCAGGTTGTAATCGTCGCACACTTCCATCAAAGTCTCGTGGGTGTTGCAGTCCCGCAGTTTGCCCAGACGGGTTCGAGGCAGGCGGTCCAGGGTCCTCCAGAGCACCTCGTGTGGCAGGCCCCCCACGTTGAGACGCACCCGCCGGAAGCAGGTCTTAGTGCGGATGATTTCCATGTGCTCCGGGGGCAGCGAGGAGGTGGAGCGCGAGCCAACTTTGTTCAGCTCAGCCATGGTCTTCTCCACGTACACTCTTTTCTGAGGTAGCAGGAACATCAGGGCAGGGTTTAGAGCTCAGGGCAGAGCTTCACAAGAACGAGATCTGAAAAATAACACGGTGATTATAATTACACACAACACTAGCATTGCAAATATGGCACGTAGACTAAGGCGGAATGTCAGACTGGAAGAACTTCACTGCGCTCAAAGTCCTCCTGCTGTTGCCGCGAAGCAACATCAATCACTCACACTCAGCTGTCACTGCTCAGCTGGCAGCTATCAAGCATTACCCTGCATCAAGCTTCATATCAGGAGGAAGCTTAATTCATGCAGCAACCCTCCTCCTCCCCATCTACTCCTCAGAGATGAGGAGGCCTTCTTCTACTACCACTAGGGTCTAGGCCCCGGGGGATTTCATCTCATGATCTCGATCTTCATTTCCCCTTCAGCCATCATCATGCCGTGTGCTACCGGGGTTCAAGCGCCAAATCTTAACCACAATTCTTGTACAATACACAATAAATGTAGTCTCACAAATATTGTCTTCAGAGTCGTTGCCACTAATTTACGCAATGTCCGTTAACTGCCAACTGATATGCAATTCTTCCCCTATTTTGTCTGTTTGAGTTTCTCCAGATTGAATGAAAGACACACAAATATAGAGACCAAAGATATAAGATAAGAGCAGATATTAATTTATTCGTCCCATAGTGGAGAAATTTCAGTGCCAAAGATAAAGATATTGGAGGATTAACTTTATTAATCCTTAAGTCAATAACAGAAGGCGCTTTTGGTGTGTTTTCAGCAATTTTTGTGTGATTTTGAATGCAGATTAGTCTTTGCTATTCTCCAGGATAAGCATGTTCCTCCGAGGATTTGTGTTCAGTCCTGGGGGAGCGAGACAGGAAGATTGGCATCAGCTGATCGGAGGGAGGGGACGAGGGAGTGGATGAGGCTTGGACAGGTACACCTGTGGGGGCTGTGTTATGGGGACACTTTTAGACCATGGAGAGGAGTTTGAATTGGATCCGTTGGGGGATGAGCCATGAGGTCTCAGAGGACAGGAGGGATGTGCTCACGGGAGTCAGTACAAGTGAATATGCAGACCGCGGAGGTTATTAATATGATAAAGGTGTAAAGGCGAGGAAAGTGTATTCATATGTCAATTATAACACCTTTAAAGAATAACATAGAACACATTAAAATCATTACACACTTAAGAATGTCGGAAAATACACTAATACACGTTCTACTTCCGCCTCCGTCGAGCAAAGACGTGTCTCAGACCGCTCCTGCTTCTGACTGCTTGCTATCTCCTGTTTTTGTCTTTTTCCTGGAGTTTTGCCACAGACAACTTTAACAAGAATGGAAATGATTAACTGGTCCCTCAACGCAATTGATTCTATCTTTTCAACACGTAAGCGTGGGTCTGGAGAGCCCGTGTGCCCGGACGGGACTTCACCAGCGGGGTATACTCTTGACAGCTGGAACAAGTTTCAGCCCCTCTGTCTGTCGACCCTGTCCATTGAAGATTCGGAAGACGTATATATCTTTGGCATTTTGGTGGTGGGAATCCTCCTGTTTGGGTTTGGAGCAGTTCTCTTCTACCACAAATTTGGAGGCATGGCAGTTCGCAAGATTCACGACCTGCTGGCCAACAAAATTGATGGGATGTACAAGGAGCTTAGCCGTGTCGTGGTTGAGAGTGCCGTGTCTGGACAAAGGAGAGTGGTTTTGGTGGAACAGTTGATAAAAGATCTCGCAGCTCGTTCACTCGAAGGGAATAAAACTCTGGAGTTGAGATTGAATGACATCGTTTGCCAGGCTTGAACTCTCTGACCCGGCTTGGATTTGCCCCTGTGTACGGGGTCTGAGGGCGCCGCAATTCGGTTTAATTGGATTTAATAGAATATCTGCCTGTTTTTGACTGCTACATTGCATACAATATTGTCCCCCTGAGGCGATGTGTTTTTCTCCTCCTGTGCCTTCTCTCCACTCTTATCTCACATTCCTTCGGCCAAGGCCATAATAACAAGGTCCCAATCTACAACAATTTCACACTATTCAGTCTCCAGCTCGGATCCCCTCCCCCCGCCTCCCTCTACCTATCCATCTTGCTCCCTCCCTCCCCTCCACTCCTCATTGTGTTTCCGACTCACCCCCTCTCTGACCCCGCCCCCCTCTGACAGCCACATTGGCCGGCTGTCGGAGGTGCTCATCCCGAGAAAAAAATCCGCGGTTTATACAAAGCACAATGTGTCTATCCAACTGTCTGTGTAACTGTATGTTATTGCTCTCTGCTGTTTATTCTACTGTTTGTCGCATGGCGCCGTAAAGATGGCGCCGTGGCAAGAGCTCTGGTGTGTGTCGTCTTCTCTGTCTGGTGCACACCGGGGTAGTCTTGCACAGTTTTTCCAATGTGGTCTTACTGCAAATAGCAAATAAATGAATCTGAATCTAAATACAACATCAAAATAATACAATTAATACAATTATTTATTTTGTTGTTTGTTGCTGGAGGAGAATAGTTTGACAAATCACTACAGGCAGTAATTGCATCCAATCAAGGGGCGACAGTAGCTCAGTTGGTAGAGCATTGGCCTTAAGGCCTGAAGGTTGTGGGTTCAATTCCCACCTCTACACCTTCTCCACCGACTCCCACTGATGACTGCTGTCGTTGTGTCCTTGGGCAAGACACTTAACCCCACTTTGCCCAAAAGCCCCCACTGAAAGATCAAGGCTATGCTCACACTCAGAGAGCAGCCGTCCTCCTGTGGACTCACCACCTGCAGAGGGTCAGTGAGGGGCTGGTGCTATGAGACTTGGGTGGCATCTCTGACTGCCACCCCCCTGACCCAGAAATGGATTAAAGGGAAGAAAATGGATGGATGGATGGCATCCAATCAAGAAGATATGGGGGCTTACATTTTTGCATTTGATAAATGGTCTCAATCTTAAAATTTTGAAAAAAAACTGACCTTCACTTTAATTGAATAAATAAAAACACTGAACATAAGGTGAGTGGAACATCCTCTCGCAGGAGCCATGTTCCAGCTTCTTCCCTCTGGGAGAAAATACTGGTCAATAGATGCAAGATAGCTTTTGATGCAAATGTTTTTTTTCTGTGGGCAACTGTTAGTTTGAACAATGCACTCTGACGGTGGATTTTTGCACATTATTATTTAGATTATTAGTTTCATTATCTGTTTATTATCTATTTTTGCATTATTTATTAGATTTAACATGTTGTTGTTATCTTGTATCTTGTTTGATGTGTGCTTATCCTGGGTGGTTATATTTCTCCTGTAATATGCGTATTGAAGACACTGAAGTGTTCCCACTGACAAAATCTCATCTGATATTTTTTTTCTAGTTCATTATGTCATGGTGTCAAATGTTTCTAATGTTTTTTTATATGTTTCTTCTTTTCACATGCTGATACATGCGTGCTATATATTGTGGTTTGAGTAAAATGAATCCCTTGTTATGAACTTGTTTATTTTAATCTCAACTCAATCTCTTATGACCAAGAACACCTTGTTTGAGGTGATGTAACTATTATAAGAAAACAACACTCTAAAAAAAAATGCATTGGCAAAACTTAATAAAATTGAGGCAGCATTTTGCATGCATCTTTTTAAGTTTTGCGAACAAGACTGTGTTTTAAGTATTCTTTGTAAGTCTTTTATCATTGGTCCAGCACAATTTTTTCAATACCACCAACTTGGATAATTGAGTTATAAAGACACTTTGTTAAGTATATTCAGCAAGTGTTTTAGCATCAGTTCAACTTAATTTTAACAATACTACCAACTTAAATAATTACATTGAAAATAAATCTTTTTGAGTATATTCAACAAGTGATTTTCAGTCAGGAATACGTAATCTTTATTCAAATACCATCTTTCAAACATTAGATTCACAAAACGGTTCACAATTGTTAATTTCAGGCAGTAGTCTCTCACTCCACATATATATGAGAGTGGGCCAGTACAGTCACTGGTAAACATGTTCACCTTAACGTATCTGTTCAAAATTGAAGGGTGACACAGGGAGTATAGGACTGCTTTGGCATGGCCCTCTCGATCATGGTTGATAAAAATAAATACAATTACTTATTTGGTCAAATTAGTTTATTCAGAATGTTGCTCAAGTATTTTGCTTTAGGACTTGCTTCATATTCAGTTTTTAAAATTAATGCTCAAATGTAGAATTTTTAAGAAGTTTATATTTTTCGCTGCAATGCATTCTGGGTAGCGTCACTGCTTCGCCACATTTTGTTTTCAATCAACACAATATATTTATTTTGAATCAACTCAATATATTTATTTTGAATCAACTCAATATATTTGTTTTTTCATTAATGGGCCACCAGGCTTACAAGAGAATTTTCATGTTGAGCAAACTCAATACTTCTCCGTTGTCCAGTTATGCCAGAATATCAAGTTCAAATTTGTTACAAAAATGAGTTAGGATTCTTGTATTAACTTTTAATTGAGACCGACATGTTTAAAATGAGTTGCGACCACACTAATTTAAGTAAAACTGGCAAAAATCAATTATTGAGTTTAGTTTAGTATGTATTTTGAGTTCAAAATACTAACCACCTGAATCATTTCTTTGAGTGCAATATTAACTTATACAGAAGATCTTTGACAACACCAGCTCTCAAGCGATGACTCAGATGTAACTGTGAAGTCACATTCTTACAAAATAACAGAGCGGAAATGTCCTTGATATCAAACTAAAGTGATGTTTTAAGTTGGGCTGCAGCAGTGGCCGACGACAGCTGTGGACTGGAGGAGAGCTGTCCACTGAAATGGTGCTGAAAACACCAGAAAACAGATCAGTCTTTAAACTCAACCCAACCACCTGATCTTCTGTTTACCTCGACCAAACGCGTTTTCCATGATACCACGAGTGACGTGGCGCACCCTGTTCATTTCACATGTTTGTTTCCATTTAATGACAGTGGGAGAAGCACATCCTACAGATGTGCAGTGGCCATGTCGAAATAAACTTTATTGAGGAAAAATCCACACTAGCCAAATGAGAAACGGTCTGATTTGACCAACAATGTACATTTATGCTTCAACATGAAGATCTAAGGCGTCTCCACCCATTTGTCTAAGTCAAGGCTTCGATAAATAATAGCCTCCTCCACTGCACACGCTGCTGTTGCGTAGCTACAGAGAACACTGTCATAAAACCCTCTAAATGAAGGAAAAACTGCGGTGTTGTGAAAGCCAGAATCCTGTCCTAAGTAAAAAAATAACCACAGTGTTTGAAATAATCCATAACAGTGCGGCTATCGGGCTCACGCCTCAGTCTGTCATCGATAATCGATATAAAACACGATTAAAGACTGGACAAATGGCAGCAATCACATCCTACCGTGTTGACTTGTTGGTGCTCTGTGGTGGATGGACGCTGCCCACAAGAGGCATTGTATCTGATGGACTACAAACCCCAGATGTGCATTTCCCCAAAGAAGGTGCTGTACTGAGTTCACTATTGCCAGGGTCTAACCCAACCCATGTCCACTTCCTCAGTGTCCGACATCGCAGGTGTTGACAAGTCTCCACCGTGGACGCTCTCATCCGCGAGCTGATCAACAAGTCTGCTCCCTGCGTTGAGCCTGGCTGGTCCTGGCTGGTCCGGGTTGGTGTTGGAGTCCTGCGGGGCTGGGACGCTCTGTGCTCGGATCCCGTCAGCGCAGGAGCCGCATCTCTCGTCCGCGGTGTTAACTCTTCCAGCGCTGCGTCATGACGCTCAGCGTGTCGCCCGTGGAGACAGTGATGTAGATGGGTGTAGCTCCACACACGGTCATATCATTTACGATCATATTAAGTTCACTGCAGCGTGGTTATTTGATCACACAGAGATCACAATGAACCACATGAGCCCAAATCAATGTTGTTGTGTTTGAGTTTCCTGAAGTCACTCTAAAAACAAATGGGAAAAACTACTAATCTAATAGGATAAACCGAATGACCAATTTGCGTTGGTTGACCAAAACAGAAAACTGAAAACACTTCCCAACCTCAGAAGCTAAGCAGGGCAGAGTCTGGCTTGTGCTTTATGGGAGACCTGTGGGAATACCTTGTGCAACAGTAGGGCGGCTGTAAAGTGCCAAACTGTTGCTGTGTCTTTGGACAAGACACTTCACCCACAATTGCCTAGTATGGCTGCCACAGCAGTAGTTTACGACTGCATATGGATTGAGTGAAAAATGCCATGTGAAGTGCCTGTAGATCTCATGAAACCATTTTTATGAACCTTCTAAATCGGTCAAACAATAACTACCGATGTATTGGTCACAATGACACATTAGCATGACTGGCATATGAACAATAAAAACTCATAATAAGTTTGAAACAGACTTTGCACAATGGCTCTGTGACTCATCAGGTCGTGTCTATATGGTATTGTTTTGACTTAGACATATGTAATTTATTACATATTAACTTACGTTTCTCATAAAACCACATTACTAAATTGTCACTTATCCACAAATCTACTTGGACCTGACCTGGCGTTTAAAGCAGGAAGGATGAACAGTATGAGTAAAAGTATAAAAATGAGACAGACGCAATTCAATTTAAAGATAAATACAATTACAATGACAATAATAGATAGACACAATATCGCACTTGAACAAATCCTTTTTCTCTGTCTTCAATCCTATGTTGTCTTCAGTCCTATGTTGTCTTCAGTCCTATGTTGTCTTCAGTCGGCAGCGTACTCGCAGGTCTCCAAGGGGATGCAGCATGCCAAAGCCGTATCGAGAGGGATCCACTGGAGGGAGCCTGGCCCCTGGCTCACACAACTCTAAATCCAGACGTGTCAGGACCAGGAGCACAAATCTAACACAAAAACAGAGCTTAAGAACTACTGGCATACAGATAAAATAGAACAAACCAGCTCCCTCCTAATGTGCTTCAATTTGCATGTTAATTTAGCTTCCCCTTGACACTCTTATCTGAGCAAGAGAGTGCCACCAACAGCACAGAGTAAGGTGCTTTATCCTAATACTTGAATGTGATTTAGCAAGCTTATTTTTTAATATAAATAATCTCCTACAAAATCACATTCAATTGTCATTTAGAGCTTTGATTTCTTCCTAAAGGAGAAAAAAACAAACAGATTTTTAAAGCAAAAGAAAGAGTGTCAGCATAATCAAATCTATGCTGCAGATGAGTGTGAACTTAGTCAAAGAGCAGAAATTGTATGATTTTTAACGTGCTGTTGGTTGTACACACATTTAACAGGACAATGTTTTGGAAACTTCCCTTGTGTTGGTGCAAGAGGAACAAAATGACAAATGCTTTGATCTAAAGAGCAGAATATTACAAGTTACATCAGTTTGGAGATAGAGATCAGAGCCGTATGGATTATGGCACTCACTGTTTGATGGTGAAGACGGCAAAGTCTTTTCCCACACACACGTTTCCGCCGGCTCCCCACGGCAAACTGTAGTGCTTCAGCGGTCTCCCATCCTTATAAAACGTGTTCTTCACTGTCATCTCACCATTTAGGAAACGATCATACTTAAAAATCTGTAAGGAAAAATGCAATAGTAAAAGTTTAGTGAAAGTTTATAGGACGTCTCAACTCAATGGCTAAATAGTTAAATTGTTTTAATACATACAGTAGGTCAAGAAAGGTGGGTTTGATATATACATGTTTTTACTAAATACTACTCCTCATTCCTACTTTTCTGTAACTCGAAAAACTTAAATGTCCTCGCGGTGGGACGAGTAAAGTACCTCTTAATCTCAATATATAATGTGTAAGTTGTGTCTTTTGATTCAAGTAACGACCTTGATTAGACCTGGTTTTAGGATTGTAGGAGCCCTGCAAGTCACAATTAAATGAGGTTTTGGGTCTGAGAGTTGATTGGCTGAGTGAAGTTGGTCTTGTCTTTACATTTTCTGAGTGAAAATTTTGATTTAAAAGACCAAAATACATGCATGTTAAAGGAGCTATACCCGATTTTTTTTAATGAGTTCATAAAAATGCTTACTACTTCATACAAGTCTCAGTATTATAATCCGTAATTCAATTGATAACTTGAGCTCATTGATTCAGCTGTGTATGATTTCAGGCCATAACAAGTGCTGAGTAGAGACTTAGCGTGACGCTCAATCTCCTCCACTCCTCCGTCCTCTAGCCTCTACAGCGCTGCTAAACACAGTAGCATGTTAGCAGAATTGGCTATAACTCCTCTTTCTGTAACTGCAGACACAGCAAAACAGCCCAAACGACAACAGTGAGAAAGAGAAGAGGGAACTAAAGCGAAAAAATGATCAAAGAAGAAATCAAGCCCGGGTGAAAATAGCTAGCATCGTATCCTCTGGAGAGACTTGTCTATGGGAGAGACCTGCGGGAGCGGGACTGCCTCGGACTTTGTATGCTCGCACTACATTCGGACGCGGAACTAGCAGTAATCTTTCAATTATATATTTTGTTAGCAGTGCGTTGCTTATGTATCATTTCATCAGAGATTGTTGTAAAGCATACATGAAGTTGCGCTAATGCTAATTTTTGCATACGTATCAGATCACAAATAAAACTAGATGGCTCCGTGGGATGAGAGCGTAGGGGAAATGAGAAGCCTGTGAGCGAGTTGGGGGGCGGTGCTAAACATTCAAACCTTGCAGAAACGGGTATAGCTCCTTTAAAACTAGTGATCAAACCAAAGTGTTTCAAGTAAAAATATGTACAATAGGTCTGGCATGCCCCTCCTGTTCGGCGACCCTGCTCCCATCTCTGTGTGGAGTAAGAGGACAAATGCCCCCCAAAAAAATAACAATTGTAAATCGCTTTGTGACTCTGGTCTGTGAAAGGCGGTATATAAATAAAGATTACTTACTTACTTACTAAGTGTGAGGAACTACAGTAGTTAGCACAATCTTGAGTGTTTCTATCCATGCCAAATGTGCCAAATTTCTCCTTCTCTTATCTTATCTTATATAGTCTAATTTTTTGTGGTTTTTGAAGTGAGGTACCCCAGCTTTACGTGACTTTACTTGAACAATCTAAAGCATGAATAATCATTTATAAACAGAGCTCAACTTCTACAAAGCTGTTTCCATTGAAAGTGCGGGGGTTGTTTATGAGTATGGCGTACAATAAATGCCATGACGTCCCCTAAAGACAAACAAACATGAAGCGTCTTGGGGAATGAGGAGATGTGGCTCGGCTGATTTTCCAAGTCAACTACTTATTTGTTTAATTTGAAGGCATTTAGCACTGTGTCCCAGAGGACCCTCGCTGTCAGAGATATAAATTGCCCTGCTTAATCCTGCCATTTGAAGAGTGCTGATAGTGCACGACAAACAGAGGTGCTCAGTGGGAGGCAAAGAATCCAGAATAAACTCTATATGACTGTGGTGCCAAAGTTCAAGACCTTCTCTCCGTATCTTAATCCCTTTCTGTGGTTTCAGATGTGAGTGTGGGACCCCCGAGGCTTGGATAAAGTAGATACATGGACAATAAAAATATGGATGTATTTTTGTTGTTGTCCAGAAACACAATTTTAGAAGGCAGAAATGTGACACAGGATGAACCGCCCTCAGACAGCCAATCAGCTCTAGTCCCAGTGCATCGTGCTTAAGGTTAGAAATTAGATTAGGATTATGTGAATTATCAACTAAATCCTTCTATTAGACCTGAACAACTTTATCTCTAGTAATTGCAATCAAAAAAAGAAAAAAAGAAATTGGCTTTAGCAGGGCTCTTTCTAGCTTTGTGTATTTGACAAGCAATTATAATACTAATTTATTTTACAAAAGATGATCTACAGTTTATTGATTCCTTATTATGCTAGTGAGATTTAGTACTTTAGTTATTTTTAATTTATCTTGTGCTGTGTGCTCCTCCTTCCTACTGTTCTGTAACCGGTGATGCAACACTGACATTTCCTCTTTGTGGGACGAATGAAGAATCTCTTTATCTTAATCTTTGCACTAAAATTAAATTGACTGGTAAACAGTTATTGCACCCTTATATATGACTAAATAATTGATATTTGACTTTTGAGGAGCCCTTTTGGTAGCGCTCATATTTGCATTGGTTCGATTTGACTTAAAGGATCTCCTTTGGATCTTAACCTTAAAAGAGCAACGTGTAAAAATCTGGCCAAAAGTGGTACTGCAACTTTTCACACTCTCTCTGACTCAGGTTGCCAGATATGCATACGAATCCAGCTGGAAACATAATATCTGAATAAACAAGACTTTTGTCAATATCAAATCTATTACCAACACCTTTTTCACAAAGATAGAAATCCTGTTTTTTTCTTTGTTTTGGTTTTTTATTAATGATTTGAGAATCATAACGAGACCTTTTTTAGTTCTGCAGCCACATTTTACTTTACCAGTGAGATTAGCTCGGCTTAGTGAGTTCTGGCAACCCGGATCACGAATTTTCTGATTGGTAAAGCAGTGGGGGGCGGGACATCGAAATTAAAACAATAACAAGATTTAAGGGCTGTAAAACTTATCTTGAGATTGGAAAATCTCAGCTGAACTATTGTTGTCAGTTAAAGAAGTCTTTGAAAAGAGCATGGTTCATTAATGCCTTTTGACACATTAGGGCCATTTCATGATGACTTGACATGAAAATCTTCCATACTTTAGCCCAGAGCATCACCTGTGGCTGTGGGTGTATCTCTGGATCCATCTGCGGGCTGAGGAATGGAAACAGACACACTTTGTCCCCTTTGCGGAGCAGGTATTCGCGGCCGTCAGCCACGCGCACGCTCTTGTCCTGCACCACGTCTCTGTTGATCATTACAGCCGCTCTGAGCCTGAGGGTTTCACTGAGAACGCTGTCTGTGGACGGACGACAAAGGGCACAATGTCAGCGCGGGTTAATCCCACAGCAACCTCAGGACAAACGCAGACAGGTAAAAACAACACGGCCACAATCATAGGATGCACACGGCAATTATGGTTAAAGCTTAGACATGTTTTTTTTATGACCTGTTTGTCATTTGGCACTGGCTTTATCCTGCTGTTCCAATGACCAATTACTGAGGATGATGAATAATGATAATAATATAGTGCTTTGTTTGGACTCTCAAAGAGACGCTTCACATGTCATTATTCTTTCACTCCATACACAGTGGTGATAAACTACTTCCCTAGCCACATCTGCCCAGGGGCACACTGAGAGAGGCGAGGCAACCAGTCTGTGGCATCGCCCCCTTTGACCACCACCAACCATTCACACGCACACCAAGACTCATTCAAGACAATGTGGGTGAAGTGTCTTGCCTAAGGACATGACAACAGTTTACAACAGCACTTTACAGCCGCAGCCGCCCCACTGTGACGCCTGGTGTTCCCAGAGGTCTCTCATCCCAGTAAATTATTACCTCCACATAAATGTTCATAATAAAACAGGTATAAACGATAGAAAATGACTATAGAAGAATATATTATCTTAGAAATTATTTTGAGAATTGACTTTACTTTAACATTGCAAGCCATTTCTGAAAGTTACATTCAAGTACAATATTAATCCAAAAAACAAATAAAACAATGGTTTCTGCAGTACCAAAAATGTGAGATAGAATAAACATTTTTTTTACTTTGATATGAACAAATGCAATGTTAGTGGTGTACTTTTGTCATGATAATACAAAATATCAACAGATCAGAATAGTCACTGTACCAGTCCATGCTCTTATTAATAAAGTTATTAAAGAAAATCTGATTTATCCAGAAACTTTAAATCATAAACTAGATATTTTTTGTAGTCATACATTTTATGCCGTAATGATGAGACTATATATATATATATTTGTTGTTGTTCATTTTTTATACTCGTTTGATAACTTTACCAACACAATTGTAATTCTAAATATACCTATAATACAAACTGTGCTGTATATTCCCATAACTCTTTGTAAGTATGTGGGAGGAGAAAAGCGCCATACTTGTTGAACAGCTGTCACAAAAATATGCCTCCACTTTTACAGTCTTCTCTGTGTGATTAAAGCTGATAAGTCGTGGTAATGACACAGTGAGTATATCAGATCATGTGACTCAGTGGATAAAGCTGAAAACAAGCAGCAGCTGTTCTGTACCAAACACAGGTGTGGTGCTGTGGCTGGGGGGCTCTGGGGGGCCGCTGTCCTGGGCACTTAGACCGGAGAGCTCTGATGCCACCGCCTGCATGGCCTCGGGGTGAGTGAGCAGAAAGCCAAGGAGCCAAAAGGCGGCAGGTCCAGCATTACACTGGAAAAACAAACACAGGGGTGAGGCATGCAATCTTTTCAGAGAGAACGTATTTGGCTGCATCTGAATTCATAAACATATTATACCTCCTCATTTATCCTTCCTTAACCTTTAGTTTATCTTTAATGAAAGGGGTTGTTCCATGTTTGGTCAAGTGAAATGTAAGACCCTCAAGCAAACAAAAATAATACTCCTTATAAGTCAATTAGAAGGAGAAGGAAGTCCAAGGAAGAACAAGGAAGAAAGTATTTATTTTTATCAATTCAGATGCAGCCACGGCCTTATTATGGCATCAAAACATCTATTCTGTTTTTAAGACACAGGGTTATTAAAAACGGGTCACATTTGCATATTCACAAATGAAAAAATCAAACATCATATTTTTTCATTACTTGTACTTGATTCAAGGTTCATTATCTGTCTACAACAAGGATCTGTTCCAGTGGTTAGTGTAAGAAGTGGCATACCACAAGGAAAGCATTTGGAGTGACTTTCTTAATAAAAATGAACTGATGATGAGATGTGTTGCATCTTGAGGAATTCAAGTTATATAGTAGTGGGATTAGAGAGAATTACATTTTGATAAAAAAAAATTGAACATTGACTTTTGTCTGTATTCTTTAAAAAATACCAGATTTTCAGCATGTGTTGTTTTTGATTGCGCCATAAAGTTGAATTGTTCCTCAATATTTGTTTTTTAATATCTTACCACTAAGTTACAAAGACACATTTACAAGAGCACACTCTCATGATTGGAGTAGACTTATATGAAAGCAAATATTTCAGGAACAATCTAAGCACAGTCATAGCAGCTGTGTCTTTTTAGAGGAGCTCTTCTATTCAACTCAATACAACACAAGAACATAACAGATACTCAGATAAAATACATTTGGTTCATAGAAGAATGGTCTCAGTATATAAAAGTGACAGTGTGGTTGCTTTTTTGCCAACTAGATTAAGAGACAGTCTAAGCATGTTGTGCAAAACCTGTTGCGCAAAACCTTGAACTCAGTGTTGAAGAAAACCTTAATTCAAGGATTAAATTGAATGTTGTTTTCGTCAAATGTATTTATAATAGTTCAGTTGTTTTAAAAAATCCTATTTTTCTCACATCTCACCTATTTTAAGTCTAATAAGTAACAACAACAACAACTTATTCTTGTATAGCCCTAAATCACAACAGAATTAATCTCAGAGGACTTAACAAAACCATTGAAATCACCAACACAGATCAGAGAATCAACAGTTAAGACACAAAATATACATATATGCATTGGTCCATAGGGAGAGACCAATGTCCATGAATGCTGATAAATGTCCATACTTTTGTAGAATGTTAAAGTGTCCTGGATCATCACCACAGTCCTTCTAGCTGGACACGAACTGCCCAACAGACCCTCCTGCATCGGCAAGGAAAAACTCTCAAAAACCCAGTGGGATAAAAAAGTGAGAACCTTGGGGAGACCCACATTTGAGAAAGGGATACTCTCCTACACGGACGAACGGGCTAATAAGTAATTGTGTAATCCATCCTTTTTCTCAAATCCCATAGAAATTGTGCCTGTAAAATAATATTTTCAGTACTAACACACAGATAAATTCCCTTGTGTTCAGGTGAATAAAGACAGTTCTACACAGAGCACAGGTCTCACTGTAAACCATCAGGCTCTGGCACGCTGCACTAGTCCAAGGCTTAATCCCTCTATTCTCTTCAGTGCTGCTCTAGTTTCATCAACAGAATGGACGTGTATCCCATTATAACAAACCAGATTAAGTACAAGTAATCCAGGTGTGAAAGTCTTACCGCCTCTGCAGGTATCAAACAGTGACTTCCACTCTGCTACAGTGGCTCCCAAGAAACAAATAGGGATTAAAATACTGCAAAAGGCTCTACAGCAGTAAAACTAAATCTGCAATATGTCAGCGCCACCACATGGTAGGATGATGGAAATGCACAGACATCGCACAAGACTCAAATTCTTCCTGTGTATAATTTGAAAGATAAAGCGTCCAATATTGAAGAGCTGACAGGGGCTGAGTGAAGGCTGCGAGAATGACAGTAATAATAAAAAGCAAGATTTAATGATTGTGTAGGTTTTTGTAATTTTTGATTGGTTTGTCCGTATAATCCTGCATACGTCCAGTTGCTTTCCTGACGTAAATCAATTGGTCTCTGTCAAGTATCTGTCAAGTATATTAAAACACATAAAAGTATGATTTTGTGTCCATAGAGAGTCTTCAGTTTGAAAACATACGTATTACTGTTTTTAACTACTTATGATTTAAGGCTGTACAAAGGGTGTTCCTTATCTAATATTTTCTGATTTAAAAAAAACCTTCTTGTAACCTTTATTTAAGCAATGTAATACTACCCAGATGAGGTTACATTTCTCTAATTGTCCAGGAATGTTGGAATTTACTCCGCCTTCTTCTGAGACTTGAAAGTATCTTATGTTGCACAAGGAGCTTCCACAAACTATGTAGTAAACTGTACTGACGTCATTGCAGAACAGGAACTAAAATGTGATGGGAATTCAAAGTCATTGGCAAAACTGGGCCCAGGGAAACAAGTCGAGACGGGTCTGATGATGAGGAATCCATGGCTTCGTTGTTACAGCTTTGAGAAGAAACTGAGTTTAACCTGGGCGTGACTCTGTTTGGCATGTAGTACATTTATTTATTTTGTGGTTTGCAGGTGAGAAATAGAAAAGGTACTGTATACAACAGACGTCACCGACCTGTGTGGTCCAAAGCTGCAGGAGTGAATCTCTCCTCTGCGTCTCATCGTCCACTCCCTCCTTTTGTAAGAAATCCACATATTCCTGCTGCCAGCACAGGGTCGCTGCTCGCTGTGCTCCAGGAGGTTTAGGGCCCAGCTGGTCCCAGAGCTTCTCCCGCGCTGACATGAACAACTTCCTTTCATCTAATAAGAATTCATAAGAGACATGGTTGTTTTATGTAATGTGGCGATGGCAATGAAATTAAAATGCTATATATACATTTTATAAAAAAGTGAGACATTTCTCAAGAATACATCACAATCATTTCATTTAATAGCCATGAGCTAATTTGCGTTCGTTGTGGGACAACAGACGCAAATTAGCCCATGGCTACAATCCGGAGTGATGTGTTCATGAACATGTACTGTCCCAACCAAATAAACAATCAATAAATAGTCCTCTGACTCCCAAACAGTATTTGTCAAATAGCTAAAGGAATATGGAGATAAAGATGGTGCTTCTGCATCCTCTGAAACACTCTACATGTTACAATGTAGCACACTAGATTCAATTATTTTAGATTTGTGAAATGTAAACACTGCTAAGTTGAATATATGACACAATAACTGTTGAGTGCAATGTTGGTATTCAACATACAGTATTTTATTCTTGGATATACTGTGGTTCAGATGAACAAATGAGACCTTCAGTCCTTGATCCTCATAGTTTCTTATGAAATGCAACCTTGTACCAAGCCTGAAAACCACATTTAAACCACATATCACAAACCACACGTGTCACATTGATATTGTGATTGCAGGTGTGCTGACTCAGTTAAATCAGTTTTTTGTATTTCTTATATTTATTACTGACTAACAGGCCCTGCCTCCACTGTGTTGTGATGTAAAAGGTATTTAAACTACTGGTCTGGATTTAATACATTAGTTACTTTTGATGAGGACATGTGCCTTTTTGAAAAAAATATGATTGATGGATGTTTTAAAGTCTATCCAGATCTATTCTAGTTCAATAATGTATAATGAATCACGAATGTATTATGATTCCATCTCAGCGTTTAATTATACGTATCATGATCTTGTTTTATGAGCACCTGGCTGAGTCATTTTAAAATGACATAAACAACCACGTCTCACCATGCTTGAGTGATTCACGGGCCAGTTTGGCGATACGATCATCAAACTTGCGGAACTCTTCATAAACTGCGGAAGCGTCACCTTCACTGTCAAATAATGACAGATATCCAGCTCTGAACAAACAGAAACCATTGAAACTTGATAAACTGTAAACTGTCTTAAACACTCGTTAAACGCTCTGTGATGAGACGATACCTGAAGAGCAGGCTGTAACAGAGGCTGAAGAGTCCGTCTTGCCTCCAGTTTCTGCTCAAATCCTGCATCAGCACATTTTCCATTTGTGTTTTCATCTTTGTGCAGAGTTGGCTCAGATTCTGAGCGTGAAAATGCCTGCATGCAAAAATATATATTTACATAGATTCACAGGAAATACACAGGAGCCTCTTGGTCTGATATTTGCATATTTTACTTCTTGTCTAAGTTCCTGATATCACATACACACGCAATGTAAAAACACCATGGCTTTAAGTAGCTTTAAAGATGTACTTCATTTTGGGTGTATAATGGATGGAAACTTATTCTGAAGTGCCTTGCCTGAGGACACAACGGCAGTTTGGCAATTCTTATCCACAACAATCTCACCGTGGAACCTGGTATTTCCAGAAGTCTCCCATCGCACAAACCAGGCATTGCCCTACTAAGTTTTTAAGGTCTGGCAGAAACAGGCTGCTACATACAGGGAGCGCCACAATAGACATACTGTATATCGAGGTGAATAGTATCCAGTCTTATGGTAGTGTCTTCAACCAATACAAATTAGTCCTTCTGACCAATAACCAATTACATTAGTCATTTTTACACCAAATGTGTATAAACTTCAACTAAAACCAGACACACACACACACACAAACGCACACATACATCTTCTTCATACTTTTTCAAACAAAGTTAAATGTGTCAGCTAGCAATCTTTCAAACGTCAAATCTACTGCCCACATCCCACCAAGTGAACCAGAATCAGCGTGACCTGACTCTATCGCTATGACCAATTTACAGTAAGTGTGTGTGTAAGTACTTTTCCATCCATCTCCTGTTGTCAGTGATGCAGTTTTGCTTCAGCCCAAATGTCTGCTCCAGCATTTTGTTCCGGCTTTTTCCCACCTTCAGTGAAGCAGCGTCGTTCAGCACAGAGTCAAACAAAACAGGATCTAACAGCAGCGTCAGGTACATTCCAGCCACACGCACCTAAGCACATAAACACAAACTAATGCTTCAGCTTACGTAAACTTATACAATAACTACCTCCACTCTGTAACTTCCTGCTCTTCTGAATACAGCTTTTACATGACAGATTAGCACAAGGTGTGATTGTAAGAATTCCAGAGATTTTTTTTGTCTTTTTGATGTTTAGCTGTGGACTCTTTCAGCTTGTCAATTAACATCTCCATTGTACCGTGGAGGTTGCGGAACAGATACTTTTTCATTTTTAGAGTCTGTATAGCAGCAGTGAAATCAAGTTTGTACAATAACTCAATGCAGTGCAAAGAAGAGTATATTTCACTATTGTAAAAAAACAAATATTTAGAATACATTTAAAGCTTAGGTACCTAATTTTTAAACCATGAACATAACATTCTTGGCCCACTAGTTTTCACATGCATGTATCGTTGGCCACTGTCACACCAAGCAGAAAGTGAAAACCAGAAAAAACTCATCTAAATCAACTCTCAGGGCTATTTCTTATAATTGTGCCAAAAATAACTAATTTTCTATAAGGTGAAAAATACATGTAGTGGTCAAGACTCTTTTTCTTGCGGCAAATATTGTGTGTTATTTTAGAGACAAAAAAATTAGGTCCCCTGGCTTTAAGCAGCAGGTTACTGTACCATCTTAAGTTGGCGTAAACAGATGTAATTCAGACATACAGTATGTAGCCACACACAATTCCACACCCATAGAATTGACTAGTAGAAACATAACGCTTCAGCTGCAATTCTAAAGGTTATATTTGCAAATAAAAACGTTTTAAAAAATGTCACATACAAACACATGGAGAATTGTTCTCCAGTATATAATGAAAATGTTTTAGTTCTGTGTCTTTGCCATATACTAGACATTGTCATTGATCAACATTGTTATTGTTTACTTCAGCGTGAGTTTTCTTACTGTAAATATGTTCCCATGCTTCTCTTTCATTCCTGCCAAAAACTTTGCAGCATCTTTTCTAAACTCCAGGGCATGTCCAAGCCAAGGTATGAGCCCTTTGTCCAGAGGTGGTTCATTTTTCCTCCTGTCAAGTCAAACCATTTTGTATCAAGCAGATTGAATTAGTTATAACGGTTATAACACTTGAAACCACAAATAGAAAAACAATAAATAGTACATTGTCTAAGCATGTCAGATGATGTTAGAAGTATTTACCTTTTGCGATTAGAGAACAGAAGAAAAACTAAGAGCAGGCCATTGACAAATGCCAAGATAGTCCATAGCATAGTTACTGTAAGCGGAGCACTTTCTTTTGAGTGAAATACCGATGGTAACATGCTTCAAAAGAGCTTCTGCAAATGTCCCTTGTCAAGAGGCGGGGAAAGGTGTGGCCTCCCAGCAAACTGCAGGCTTACACAACACATGAGCTACCACAGTAGACGCTATAATAAGCGGATTTCCTTAAAAAAAACATTATTTGTCTTAGACTTGCATAGTATTTCATAATGTCCTGACCAAGAACTGTATTCGAGACATTTCCAAAGCATAGATCAATTGACCATATACAGTCAGTATACAGTCTGTGTCAAACTGTCAAAACTCTATCTGATGCAGGCCACTTGAGGTTTACAGAAACCATGAGCCATGCCAGGACATGAATCACTAATTGATGTGTCTATATTTGCAAGGCTACACTGACTGAGTGTACATGTGTTGTTTTAGCATGAGCTCATTTTCAAGTGGCAGGGTTAGGGTTAGGGTTAGGATTAGGGTGAGGGATAGGTTTGGAGACAGTATACAGTAAACAGTATATTATTAAATTGTTATTTTATCCTGGAATCTTTTCATGTTTATTCTCTTCATGTAGCACAATGTGTTCTATCACAACTACGCAGACAGCCACTCAGATCTAAGTCTCATTGACAGCCTGATAATATGGGCCAGTAACTTCATCCAACAACACCGTGAATGGATGCATTGGTAAACCCAGACAAAGCTGAATTTGGGCCCATAGTATACTGTTTAATCAATCACATCCCATCTTTTTCCCTAAAACTTCCATATCAGGTCAGATGTTGTGAGGGTACGAATGGAATCAGACTTAAATTGAGGGACTCTGAGGAGTGCAGGGACTGGCCTCATGCTGGGACTTTGAGGAGCACAGGGACTGGCCTCATGCTGGGACTCTGAGGGGCACAGGGACTGGGCTCATGCTGGTGCTGGGAGTCATAAACATGGGAAACCAGCAATTTTTTTTTAAAGCTGATAAATCTGAGGCTGCAGAACGAAGGTAGAGGCCACAGGAAGCAACCGAGGCAGCTCCCAGGTGGGGAGGGAAGTGCAGCCCACAAGTCTGGACCATCATCCCACCAAACAGACAATGGGACAGCAGGTGAATAGTAATGCACAAACTACAGCTGAAGTCATAATGATGACAGATAAAGAAGAAGAGAGAAGAGGATAGTGCTTAAGTTACCATGCTTCTCCCAGCAAAGTGTTTTCATATTCAGCTTAACTGACAATCTGTCTTTAGACTTACCTGAGGTTTACCTACATAACCTTTGCTGAAGAGGACAGTTTTAAGCCTGGCTTTGAAAGTATATACTAGGACTGCTTCCATGACATGGTTGGGGGGAAAGGTAGCTAACGAATCTGCCTCCGATTGTGCTTTTTGAAACTATAGGAACCACCGAGTAGTTGGACCGCAGTGATAGGTTTGATTGTCATGAAACAAATGTCTTACCTCCACACTTCCATTAACTTGAGATATGGGACTATTTAGAGCAAATAATTCCATTATGTAAATGTCAACTGCAATTATCCTCGAAGTCAAAGATTCTCCTGACACACAATTCCAAATAGAAGTGAATTAAAAAAAAAAAAAAATCTTAAGCGTGGATACTTCCTCGTGTTCAATGTGGCGCTGCAAACACTAGAGGGCGCACGGTGTCCGTGCATCTTTGCCACAACCATGATTGTGTTATACATATGGATCTACACTACACAATGTAAATCTGATCTTAAGATAGTTGGAGTGAACCCGATACACACATCTTATCTTTACAGTCAGTGAATGGTCACATATGTTCAAACTAATTCTGAAAGAATTTAAAATGCATATTCCAATCTATATTCTGGATGTTGTTTCGCCTAAAATTTTCTTATATATGTTTGATTTTTTTTTTAAGTCAGTCATAATTTCGCAAAGATAAAATACAAAATCCCAATTCCATCAATTGGCCAAAGGGAAATTCCCTGGTACAAATAATATGCATACCGGTTGTTATCATCATTAGCTGCCGTCATTTGTGATGTCACATACAGATATTGAAAAAGAGGCACCAAGACCACCCACGGATAAAAACAATTTGAATCAAAGCATAATCTTTTTTGTCATTAGTCCCATGGAAACACAATATGATATGGCCCCTTCAGAGTTGAATCAGATTAAATAGAAAGTACATTACACATTGAACAAATAAAACAAAGTCAAATCACATGTGTTAGATACATATAATCATTATCAACATGTTAAGGGACTTTTGGAACATTCCTCCAATGTATGGAATGTGGTGCAATTGCAAAGAAACATTTGTGAGTAACAATTTGTTTACGTATCAGGATACAATCATAATCCCAAATCCCATCCATTATGAAATGATTTCAAATTTAAAATGTTATGAATGAAGTAAAAAGATCAAGTTATAATGTTTTAAGCAATAAAATATGTCTTTCTTCTTTATCACAAAAAGAGACACTATAGCTATCCCAAAAGCAACAACAACAAAAACAATGTTGCATATGTCTTCTGGACACTCAAAGACGCTTGACACAGCAGCATTCAATCACTCCCTGGTCATTAACTGCTCCAGCCACCGCTGCCTTGGGGCAGACGGTTGGAAGCAGGGCTACTAATGTGTGCCATCTGCCCCTCCGACCACCACTAATTATTTATGGAACATGTTCTATTGTTTGGTGATCAGGATAATTTTGGCCATTGAATACATATTTATCTATTGCCTTCTTTCTAAATTCTTACAAGCTAGGGTACATAACTTTTCACAAACAATGTTTTTTTTGTCTCAACAGAAAGAGACTTGTGAACAAATCAGTCCACAACAGGCTGCGTCTGTCCCATTAGAAAATACAAATTTTTGCTTTTCGAAAACCTTTTTTTACTTTTCTGCATGAAAAATCTGATCCAAAGTGGCCATGAAATGCATGAATGTGAAAACTAGAACCCAACAGTTACGTACATTTCTCCATTGTGAGATCAGTAAAGTTTATGTTGTCTTATCATAAGAGCCAGTAACTATTTACATCGATTGTGTTCTACACAAGGGCGTAGGTTTGCGTGGGGACCATGGGGACATGTCCCCACCAATATTTGGTGAGGACTAAAAAGTCCCCACCAAAATGACATGATGTCCCGTGACCCGGACGGTCCGGGACACATGTCTTCCGTTTGTGCACACGTCGCGCCTCCTCCTCGCCTCCAGAGCAACAGCAGCAGCAGCAGCACGTGACCCGTTCCGTTCTCTGCAGTGATTGGCTGTCTTCTTCAGCGCCAAACTGAAGCACTGAGCGACTGTTTAATTTTTAAAAGTTAGCCAGTGTGAAGCAAGTGTTTTTTTCGTTCCCTGAGCGTTGTAGCACGTGAGTAATCAGAGGAAAGTACTGCAGATCTATTACCATTCAAAGTACTTACGTTATTTCTAATCTGTCAGCGCACTGTTTAATGTTCCGAGGAGCTCACACGGCACAGAGACAGAACAGAACTGGCTCCAATAAAGAAACAGGTTGGTTGAAAGGCTGAAAAAATACTTATTGTGCTCTTGCTATCCAAAATGTATAAGTGGGTGTGTTGTGTGAATCAGGATAAACTAGGGATGAAAATATTCCACGGATCCACGATTTACAACCTTTATCTGCTGATAATGTAATTTCTGTGAAATGTGTGACAGCGGGCACTTGCTGTTATTTGCTCTAAGCACATTCAAGCGATGCACTCAAATGTGCACGTCCTGGTGCAGCTGCTGCCGCTTTGTAATGACAGCCACGGCGCTCAGTGAAAGCACAGCTCTAACATGGTACCGAGCTCGGACCATATGCAGACAGAACCATGTTGCAAGTGCGGGTCTCCCTCGTATCTCCCCCGTTTCTCCCCTGTGTCTCTGACATGTCTCTCCCCTGACTCTTCCCAAAGCGCAACCAGCGCTCCCGAAATTAAAGCTCGGATACCTAAATTTTCCATTGCGTTAACGATGCATGGTGGTTGTGCGCAAAACACACCACAACAGGTCATTTAAGTTTTTATTTTGCATACTTAAGAGCCCTGTGAGTCATTACTTGCCTTTTTGGGTTGTGAGTGGAATAAAAAATAAAAGAAAATATAGAAAAATCCACACTGTTACTTATTGCCAAACTCTTGTTAACTCATTGTATTGAGAAATACTATGTAACTTTTGACATTGGCCAAGTTATATAAATGATTCTGCAGTTCATGTATATGAATCTCTGTTTTTGATTGTCTATACCTTCTTATATAATTTAGAAAAAATGCCACCTCCACAAAAAAAGATAAAAGATATCAGGAGCTTTTTTAACAGTTGGAAAGTAAGTAAGAGAAAGCACAAGTAATAGCAAATTATGAATTGTGATGATTAATCTTCTGTTAACATACATAGGAAACTCAACCAACAAGAGAGAACAATATAGGGAATGTTGAGGTAGAAGCAACAGGCCCTTCAGTGCATCAGGTGAGGTTGGAATTTTGTAGGTATGCATGGGACTATGAATTGTTTTTAGAGATTGATTGTATATGTCAAACAATGTAGTGAGATACTCACTGTAGATTCTAATTCAATATTTTCTCCTCTGTTTTTATTTATTATAGGAAATTGAAAGATCGGAGCATGATTTATTTCAAGTATCGAGAGCAGTTCCTGAACTGTTAGAGCCTCAGGTGAGGGCTATTATGTAGATTTGGATTAGGTTTAAGTCAGTATAGAATGAACGCAACACAAAACTCAGAAGCTCTGATCCAATTGATTTTGTTTTAACTATTAGAAAAAATCCTTAACTGCTTCTCATTCAGTCTACAGCTGAGTTTAGTATAGAAGGCAACACACTATTGCAAATATAGTGTGTGATTACACAACAAATTCTGGGGGAGAAACTCTGGACCCCGTGTCAATGGGTGTAGACTCAGGTCGTAGTGAATGTCCCCACCAAGATTGGAACCAAACCTACACCATTGGTTCTACAGTTCTAATGTATGCAGTATGCAGATTGTGTTCTACAGTTCTAATAGTATGCAGATTGTGTTCTACAGTTCTAATGTATGCAGTATGCAGATTGTGTTCTACAGTTCTAATAGTATGCAGATTGTGTTCTACAGTTCTAATGTATGCAGTATGCAGATTGTGTTCTACAGTTCTAATGTATGCAGTATGCATGCAGATTGTGTTCTACAGTTCTAATGTATGCAGTGTTGAAGTTAGGTATCCAAGCTTTAGCGATAGAACTCCCAGAGCAGTCAATTTGACGGCTCTTAGTTTTCAAAGTGTAATTGCTTATATACATATACCTCTACAGGCTCCTCTCGACATGGAGAAGCGGCTCCACTGTAAATTTCTCCTATGTGAGATAAATAAAGCACATCTTATCTCATACATTCTTGGTCTTCGGAAGTTGTTTATTTCTACTCATTTTTAAAATGTATTTTTGTTCTTAAATGAGAGTACCTTTACCACCCCGAGTAGAGCCAGTACCAGTACTTACTTGCTGTCAGGTAACATTTGAAAAATTTCTCAGAATCCCATTTGGTTTAAATTAGGGCAGTCAAAATGACGGCTCTGTGACTTCTCGTATTTTCATAATAATGGGAGTCCTAGTTTTAAGTATTCAAGCTTGACACATTGATTGCATTTTTTTGTTCTGCAGTATATGGCTCCAAAATGACGCGCACCAGTCTCCTCTTTCTTTACTACAACCATCCTTGGGTAGACTCGCTGTGGACGCGCGGAGCGGGGAGCGGGGAGGGCCGGGGCGGAGTCTTGCGCTGACTTTCACATCCATTGAGCCTTTTCTGCCGCAGCAGCATTGAACTTGCAACGGGCGGAGAGGAGAAAAACACGGGAGGAGTGGACTGACGCGCTGCACTGACAATCACTGCCTCCATTGCCTTTTTTAGCCGCCGCTCTGTGCACAAAACCCCAACGCGCGCTGTAGTAGAGGAGGAGGCATGACCATTGATGATCACCATGCACTTTTGAGATCGCCCCCTTTTTTGTGGACCAACAGCCGTATACAGAGGGATCCGACGCAGTAGATAAAGAGAACCCGTGCCTGTGCGTAAAACCGTCTGAAGTTACAGACAGTGAGATATGATACGGCTCTGATTGTATCCAAAATAACCGCGCAGTGAGACAACGCACATCCGTCGCATTGTGCTTGAACAGACGACCATTCCTGCTGCTGCTGGAGGACCGCACAACACTATCTCCCCAAAATGTCATCAGCAAAAGTCAAGAAGGACAAAGAGATTATTGCAGAATATGAGACCCAAGTCAAAGGTTGGTAGCGTGCAAAGGCCAGGGCGTTTTTGTGTGTGTGCCTTATTATTGCGTAACTTCACATTTTGCAGTGGGTTTTGCTCCATAGTACTACGCAGGGTGGGACGCCTGTATTGAACATTTGTTAACCCATTCACGCAATGTGTTGATCAGTTGTTGTGAGAGCTGCAGCCTGCTTAAGCCATTAGTTTTACCCTCAGTGCTGCATGCGTGCGTGGATCCAGTGGGGAAACGGGATCAAACTTGTTAGAATAACTATGTCTTTGGGCTGGAACAAGTCTGCCCCAATGCTTGCATGTACTATCAATGTGCCAATTTCACTTTGTGGATTTCCATGATTGGACCAGTAATGACCTATCATTAATTTTCCCCTTAATACAATGGTGCACAGCCATCTAAACATGTTTCATCTCACCTTGGTGGACAAGCTTGTGGAGGCAAGAGGTCATGTATACTGGAAATATATCATAAAACGTTGCTGGCTCTTAAAATATTGTAGATTTAAAAGAGGCATATTGTATGTTGTTATGACAGGACATGGGCTATTGTTCTGATTATGTACGACTTATTCTGTTGATGGCATAACATATTTTCAATCTTAGGCTTTTTTGCTTCATACATCTTTGGCTAATACTTGTGACTAGGCTTTTTCCTTTTGTGTTTGATTCCTGGAGCTTGTGGTGAAGTGAAAAATTGAAAAGAGGGGATTCTTGAGAAGGTCACACAGCAAACAGTTGGGCAAGCTCATAAATAATACATGTTGTCTGTATAAATTATAAACCATGAAAGGGTTTTACTGTCTGTGCTAAATATGTGACCGGATGAAGGACCCACAGAGATGCCGGGAGAGCAGAGAGCTGGTCGGTGTCTCTGGGTGAGAGTGGATGTGTCTTGTGCCTCTGTTGTAGGGTGTTCTCCAGGCAGCATTAGCCACACTTCACCGCTTCACCTCCTGGGCTCAGCTTTTCATCCATTACAATGGATGAGCAAAACAATGTCAAACAAACAATGTCTGTAACTGAACCGCACGGCTCCAACAATGTCATACTTTTCATTCCAGGTACGTTTCTCATTACAGTATTAGTTCACAATGTCACTTTAATCTTTGAGGATGCTGCCTTGTTATTAGCAGACGTTTTGTTTCATTATTTTTAAGTCTGTGGACATTTATAAGGCTTTAATCAATCATATACATTCTTGGTTGACTAAAGACGTGCCGGGCCGACCCATTGGTTTAACCCTAACCCAAGCCTTAATCCTAATTGATGGCTGTATGTATAAACAACTTACTAGATTTCAACCCTCTGCAAAACAATATAAGTACTATGGATATAAATAGCAAATAATACAAATGTGACTTAAACTTGTCAATGAACAGTTTTCCTGCGGACCCAAAATAAATGCCAAATCATCAGCTGATTTGTTCCACCCCTTTTTTGGTTGACTAGATGCCATCGGCCCATTATTCGACTGAATGAGCCTAGACAGCCTGAGACATAGCACTGTAGCTTTAACATTATGAGGATTCATGGACCAAATCATAAATCAGATGAGATGAAATGTTATTTTTTTTAATGATTGTCAAAAATACTTTTCTGCATATAGGCTTTGTTTTTACTTGAAGGTGTGTCCTCCAAGTGCAGTTGGAGTCAGACTTTAGCATGCAAATGTTTTGACAGCTTGTACCACACCTCTTTTTTGACAATCACTGTGCATTCAGTTAAACAAGATATGCCCCCAACATAAAAGGCTTATAAATGTAAAATGTTGTGAACAAATCACAATCAAAATTGTGACTTCTCACTCTTAAACGCTTTGTGCTGAGGGGTGATTGGCTGACATGCATGTGGAAACTAGTGATAGTACCATCCATCTACCTTCCCTCTCCACACACACCCGGGGCTCCCGAGGTGTTCCCAGGCCAGCTGAGAGACATAGCCCCTTCAACGTGTCCTGGGTTCTCCCTGGGGTCTCCTCCCAGGTCATGCCTGGAACACTACCCCGGGGAGGCATCCAAGAGGCACCCAGCATAGATGCCCAAGCCACCTCTACAGGCTACTCTCGACATGGAGAAGCGGCTCCACTCCAAGCTCCTCCTGTGTGACCAAGCTCCTATCTCTAGGACAGGGGTGTCAACCCCTATGGCTCATGACCATAGTGTGTGTGTGTGTGTGTGTTTTGTTTGTTTGTTAGATGAATGCATACATAATCTCTCAAAGGCAATATCACGATACTATACCTTAAGCTCACTAACATAGTTAGGCTTCCTAATATAATTTCCCTGGCCTGACAGGGTATTTGGTATCTGCAGAGGAAAAATACAATAGGAAGAAGAGTATAAAGTTGATGAAGCTACAGAAGAGGGACATGAAGTGAAAAGAAGCACTGCATTTGACATTTACATCATTCTTGCTCTTTCTTAAAGTGGGAACCAGCACAGCTCTATAGTTCGTCTCAGATTCAGGGAAAGCTCTTAAGCTGACATCTAAAGCTCATTTACAAACTGGCCCTGGATCACTTGGGAAACTTTGGGGACTTAACAGCGACAGTGGTGTCCAATAATGCTGAGTGTGCAGACTGCAAGCTGCACTCAGGCACTTGCCAATATTGATACCTGAAGTAAAGTATTTGCGCAGTAGAAAGTGTGGAGAGGCGTGGGAGAAAAGCTATCCCCAGCGGACCCATAGTAAGTGCAAACAGACTGAAAAATCACTTTGCCTTCAGCCGGACATCCATGAAACAAAGCAGAAATTGTTTTATTATAGAGGAAGTACTTTCTTCAGAAAATCATTGTTGAAATGGGGTGGGGGGGCAGTCAGAGCTGCACCCAGTACACAGAGCACCAGCCCCTCACTGATCCTTGATCTTTCAGCGGGGGCTTCAGGCAAAGTGGGGTCAAGTGTCTTGCCCGGGCCGTACAGCCGCCACGCTGTGTTTAGTGCATTCCTGGAGCCGCCTGAGGACACGCCCCTCTGCGTTTGTCAGAGCTGAGGAATGCTTCTGACCGACTGAGCCACAACTGTCACGTCCATGTCTGGTACTTAATGATGATATCAATTACACAGCTCACGGTTTTGTGACATTTCTATATGTATGTATAATTTACACCACTCTGACAACTTGGGGTGGAAAAATTGGCTCTTTAATTTCTCCTGAAAACACAACGGCAAAAACGGGACAAGTCTTCAACGAAAAAAATATAAAAAAATCTTGACATTATATACCAGGGGCCACAGGCGTCTCCTGTGATCTCACGCCCTCCCGGTTAACTGATCTGTTTCAACACAATTCCATCACGATAACTTTGTCAATTTATTTATTATTTATTTCTGCAAATATAAATAAATGTTTCCACACTCTTATTCTAATCATACATTCATTTCATATACAATCCTTGAACGTTAAGTTGTAAATCTTCCTTCTATTACTATAAGTAATTTGCGTACACTATAACACAATTGGTACAGTACTTACAGTACTATTTTTTTTTTTTTATCACATAACTTGTACTGTACTTGAGTAAAAGCATTGGGTTTTCAGGTACAAGTAATAGAGGTCGGGTTCAGGAGTCCGATCAGCACGCCATGATACAGACAATGGGGCAGCGGGTGAATAGGAATGAACAGACCACAGAGAGAGTAAGAGATAGGAAAGGAGAGTGCTCATGTTATCAGCAGTGTGTCTCCATTTGCAGTCTGTAAACCTCCCCAGATGCTGAAGAGAGTCAGAGTGGGACATAGACGTGTTCATCATTAATGATAGGAGTGGTTTCACATATAGTTGGTTAAGGATAGTTGGAATTTTACTATTGAAGAATTGAAGGGTTGAATTGAACTACTCTGTGGCAGTGTGTTAGCTTGGCTACAGTGTTGTTGTTTTCATTCACTTTAATGGAAGTTGAATAGTATTGAGTTTGGGTTCTGTGAAGGGTATTGTACATTTGGAAACTTGTTCTCCAAATCCTGGGGCAAGTGGGGACAGAGCCTTTTGATTTTTTTTTTTTACATTATGTTTTAGGGAATTAGATAGCATGTTTTATGTAAATGCTATATCTTGTGAATTCTGCAAACAGAAGCATGCAAAGACCACAGGCATAATGTGAAACCATGTCAACGTGTCAGTCTGGGTTAGTGAACATACGAGCATCCATGCATGGCTAAACTCAGACACTGTGAGGCCACACTGACCACAGGGACTGTTTTGTTTGTGTCTGTGATGAAATATTGAGCCAAAACTCACTAAAAAGGAGCTGCTCATGTCCATGGAGCTTGGCAACTTTGTCATATGCAAAACTACAAAGATATTTGTGACATTTTCTTCTGTGTGTGCTTTATATTTTTCATGTGTTTTAACTGTTGATTCTCTGACCTGTGTTGGTGATTTCAATGGTTTTGTTAAGTCCTCTGAGATGACTTCTGTTGTGACCAAGGGCTACAAGAATAAATTGTCATTCATTTTTCATTCATTCATTTTCAAGCCCTTTATTGTCCATTTCTGGGTCAGGGGGGTGGCAATGAGAGCTGCCACCCAATGCTCATAGCACCAGTCCCTCGCTGATCCTCTGCAGGGGGTGAGTCCACAGGAAGATGGCTGCTCTGTCAGTGGTGAAACAGCCTTGGTCTTTCAGCAGGGGCTTCAGGCAACGTGGGGTTAAGTGTCTTGCCCAAGGACACAACGACAGTAGACATCAGTGGGAGCAGTTGGAGTAGGTCCCATGGTGGGAATCGAACTCACGACCTCCAGGCTCAAAGGCCACTGCTCTACCAACTGAGCTATTGTACATAGAATAAATTGTATTGTATTGTATTTTTATACAACAGACATCAGACACAGTTAAAGGGAGAGAGCTGTGTGTACTTTGCAGCAATTAGATTTCCGTTTTGAACATGGAAAACCAAACCTAATCGAATTAGTTTGATTGATTTGTAATTGTTTTCAGACTGTTCCTATGGATCAGCCTCATGACTTTGCCGACCCCGGGTGAGGGAGAGTCTTTGGAGGGTTAAAAACAAGGGACATGGATCTGTCTCATGTTACTCTGTGCATCTTTGCAAACAAGTTTCTCATCACAATCCAAAAAAACCTAGTCATGCACTATAGTTTTATCTAATCCACATATACCAAGTGGTCCAAGTGGCATTTCTCAGCCCCCGGCGCGGTGGCGGAGTGGATAGCACTCTTGCTTCTCAGCAAGAAGGTCCTGGGTTTGTATCCCGGTAGGAACAGGGCCTTTCTGAGTGGAGTTTGCATGTTCTCCCCGTGTCTGCGTAGGTTTTCTCTGGGCGCTCCGGTTTCCCCTACCACTAAAAACATGCACAATAGGTATGAATGTAAATGAGAGAGTGAATGGATGGTGTTGATTGGTGGCTGATACGCCAGTGTGTTCAGCAACTCGCTTCCGTCATCACCGTGTGTGGACTGATTGGAACAATATCTGAACTCTGAACATTGTAAAGCGTTTTGGTCTGTAAAATGCGCTATATAAATAAACATTATTTACTTACTTACTAAAGCAATGAGCACATTTCTGTCTAAACATACTATTTATCTATTTTTCCAAATTAAAAGTGGCATATTTCTGCAACACAACCACAGCCTTTCTTCCATGTTAGATTGTTAAGATGAACTGACAACCACCATAAACAAGTTTTGTCTAGGCTTGTAATTTCGATGTGTTTCAGGGCATGTTCAGAGGCGGAACAGTGCGGTCTCAAAATATACTTGTACAAACAATAACCTGTTTTCTCGATAATTTAATCCACCCCAAAAGTAATCTAGCCTCGCCATGAAGAGCAAGGTACAGAATTTGCACAGTCTTCCTTCCATACACACATTTGAACAAGTAGCTACTGGAAAATAGACTCTGTGGTTGATTTGAACTGCTTTGAGGACTGCAAACCGAGAGCAACACGTAACCCATTTAGCTGGTTCCAAGCTGTTGTGTAATCGATGCAAAGGCAGACAATGAGCCGCATGTTCTGCCCCTTCACTTGTGACACTAGTCTTTGCAGTCTACTTGTGATTTTGTGCCATACTCGGTGAAGGCTTGAATCATTCATTGAGCGCAGAACCGTGGTCCCTTGTAACAGTTTAGGATCTAAAAATAACAGCGCCAGCAGAGAGTAAATGCAAACAGCTATTTCTATATTTGATGTCTCATTGTTGGAAATATGCACGAGTGAGTCTATTTGTGAGGAGCGTGTTTATCCATGTTCTAAGGATGGATGCGCAATTTGACTTTTTCATTTTTACATACTATTCGTACTGAAACCTCTTCTAATGTGTTCTATGAAGTGTGTCATTTAATTGTTTTGTTCTTTATTGTGTTATTACATATATTACTAGGAAACTGCCTTATTCTCAAAACCAATGTTGATGTCCTAAAAAAAGAAAACAAAAGTCACAATATTTGATCATAAATACAACAATATAGGACTTTTTTATACCACAATGTTTTATGCTAGTTCTGAGTTGTGCTGTTTTCTACTTTTTTCATTCAGTAACTAGTTGCAATACTTGTTGTAGACTTCCTTTCTCAAAAGGTTCTCACTTTTACTTTCATTATACACTACTTACCCTCAAAATAAATCCAAAATGCTGTATATAAAAAGAATTGTGAACTAAAGCTAATTACGCCTATTTAATCAGTTTTCCATGGCTTTATCAGAAGATGCTTTGTGTTATGGTACTGCTACTTCTCTGACTTGTTATTAAGAATTCATTGGATGTTCTTTGCCCAGAAGCGTCCTGAGATCTGCCAGAGCTCACTGTCCATCTGCTCGATAATGTAGAATTTGAAAATGATTTTAAAAAACAAACAATCTGGTGTCATTTGCATTTCAAACAGTTAACGGATTGTCTCTCATGAGTTTGTTTGTTTCTGGTGTTTGCTCAGAGCTAAACGCTCCACAGAGAAAGTGGGCTGTGAGAGTCGGAAGAGAGAGGTTTCCAAGCAGCGGGAAAAACTATGGCCACCACAAGGGGAATGCCTCTAAAGCACAGGGGGGCTCATTCATCTTTTCATTCATGTATGTCTTTACATTCACAATATGGTTCCAAAGCATTAGGTCATGGGTCTTCAACCTTTTTTGATTGGAGAGCTACTTTTCTTGAACAGAAATGGAAGAAAGTGCGACCTTTGCAATGACTAAAGCGTATATATATGCGATTATACTGTAATAATCTAAACATTTATAGTTAAAATAGATACGTATTGACTCAAAGGTGAATCATTCAGGACCATGTGTTAAATTCTTTTGGGGAGCTACCTGAAAGGGGGTGGTGAGCTACTGGTAGCTTCTGAGCCACAGGTTGAAGACCCTTGAAATAAACATATTTTAATGTCACAGTAAAAATGTGGTGTCAAAAGTACTTTCATGAACAGAATTGTGACGACATTATGCAGTAAATGTGTGAAGCAAATCTGGTCGATTATTTGTGGCACTTTCTTTTTTTTTTGCGGGACCCACATTTTTATGACAATAATAATAATGATATGATAATGATAATAACTACTGAATATTGACTGATTGATCAATGATAACTGTAATAAATCATGTAACCACATGTTTGTTTTAAATGTGTATGTTTTCTGATATCCTACTTAGAAATTATTGAGTTGGATTGTTTTATTGCAATTATTAGTTTATACTTTAAAATGTATTGTTGTCTCAGTCCTAGTTTTCTAATTGCTTCAGCTGTGTCATTAGCAAAGTTAACGGCAATGTTTTTTTTCAGTGTTGTATCTGGTTGTTGTTGGTAAATTGATATCTATTATTTATTGATTATGGTGCCATTTCCAGTCAATATCGGGAATGGGATTGATAATGAAAATAAATCCATTAGAAAGCTCATTTTGTATCAGATTTCTGTTATAGAGGTACAGTAAGTAAGTAAGTGTTTAAAATGGCCTTCAAATGTATGTTGATGAAATGGGTTTGACATTCCCACATGGTCATGACAACACAGGTAGATTTTCAAAACGTTAATTGTAACTGTTTATGTTGCCGTGCCCCCAAATCATTCAATGTTCCATTGTCTAATCATTTATTCTTGTAGAAATGGCATTTAGCTCAAAACAAAAGGCCTCTTCTCTCATGGGCTTGTCTTTTCCATTGATACAGTCCTCTCAGTGCTCTCCAATGATACTGTGCATGGTTGAAACAGTGTGTCATAATGGAGGCTCAGAGAGAGGCTTTGTACTTTCACCATGTGACATCCAGACCACACGTCACTGCTGCTTGTACATATTTCCATTTTCTTACTTTCTGTACATTGAATTCAACACAGTAAGGATATTCAAGTAGATGCTTTTAAATCTTAGACCATTTTTTTCCCATTATTGATATGTGAAGGGATCTAGTTTCACTGAGGGGGTAACTATTGATTATTTGTGTACTGTATCACTTGTTGTTGAAAAAACTACCAGGAATGGTGGATGGTGATATTCTATGTTCATTTTGTCCCAATTTGTTCACAAATACAATGGCTTCATACTTCTTTTGGCACTTCATAGTTTGGCAGGTTAAAATAAATCTAAGATTCAATTTGAACCATATAACTATAGTGTCAACAGACAGTACTAAATTTGTAAAATCTTGTAAAGTTTTAATATTGATTTTTGGCTTTTGAAAAAAAAGCATGAAATTGAAAGTGAATAAAGACAAGAATGTGGCTCCTAACTTTCTGAAAGCTCTCTCAGCACAATGCATTTTGAGGAGCTGACCTATTTTTGATTTTCCATGCTGTCTGCTGCAATCATCAGGCAGGCATCTCCAGCGCACGTGAGCCTCCCCAGCATTAAGACCCCCCCCCCCGACCCCTTCTCTGCTCACACAGCAGACTAAACGCACTCTGACATGCAGTTTTATCCAATTATTTTGCCTGTGTTTCCTTTATTAGTGCTTGCACTCTTGTCTGAGAGGAGGCCACACATTTGCCTGTATCTCCATGTGCTTTTGTGTTGAAGCTCCCTGACCTGCAGTAATGATTGTTCATTGTTGTTTTTAGACTTCACATTCAGCACTTTCAATGTAGTCTGTTTACTGTGTATGTTCCTGCAATCTATTCCCACGATTAAATTAGAATTGTACATATATTTATCTTAATTTTATTTCTATAAGCAGGTGGATATCCTCTTAATTATAATAACATTAATTGAATTTGCATATGTTTGAATTTTCCTTTATTCAAGCAGGAAAGTCCCTTTAAGATGTCCCTCAGAATGTTTTATATTTTAATGTTATACAGGGGACCCCTGGCCCAGACAGGGAAGGGGGATGTATGCACAGGTTTTTAGTGATTGGGGAAACGGGAGCCTCAGGAGGACACAAACACAGGCTACACACAGTAGGCTCTAAAATTGTGATAAACTGTGCATCACTCACCGCTGCCATGAGTGAACGTGTTTTTATACTGTACAAACATTTAAATGAGTTGCTTTATTTGGCCTCGCTGCTTTTAGAGAGAGTTCAAATCAAATCAATGCATTTTTCTCTGTCCTTAGAATATATTTCTCATCGAGGGAAAAACTACAACAATAGAAAAGTATAACCTCAGGGAGACCACTCGCAGGGTCAAACGGCTGTGTCCAGGGCTGGTGGCTGAACATTTGCAGATAGATGTTGTTAAACATGTTAACCTGGTTCTTTGTGTCCCTCAGAGATCCGGAACCAGTTGGTGGAGCAGTTCCGGTGCCTGGAGCAGCAGAGCGAGTCGCGGCTGCAGCTGCTTCAGGACCTGCAGGACTTCTTTAGACGGAAGGCCGAGCTGCAGCTGGAGTTCTCCCGAGGCCTCGACAAACTGGCTGAGAGATACTCCTCTAAGATCCGCACAGCCAGAGAGCACCAGCACTACAAGTCAGTCACGCTTCAATGTATTGTTCATACTATGGCCTGTCTCTGGCTCAATGAAGCCTAGGGAAGTGCTCGTGGATGAAGTTTCGCTCCTACTGGCTTTGGCTCCTATTGACTCGGATTGAAAAGTAAACTCCTCTCACTAATCATTTATGTCACACACTTTAAAATAGATTCAGATTCAGATTAAAAAAAACTTTATTTATCCCAAAGGGCAATTAATTGGCAGCATAATCTCAAAGCAGAACACCCAGACTCTACACAAACACACAGTGAGTCAGGCCTCTCAGTTCATGCTGCATCAGTGAAGTTAAAAACAATTCAATACAACACACAACAATTCCCACAAGTCAAACTTCTCTACCAGAGTTCAACAGTTTGATGACAGAGGGCACAAAAGAATAGAAAAAAATATAGTGTTTCTCCGCACTGATCCTTGTGTCTTTATTTTGATCATCTCTTGCATATTCAGATTTGTCCCCTCACAACTGAACAATCAGGCACCTTCTGTCCCCAAATGTTCTCGAGCAGAAACTGATCAGCATTGATCCTGATTGGCTCTTTGGTTACTAGGTCATTGCTACTCACAAATTTGGCTCCAGATTCCTACTTGTAGCCTGTTAGAATTGAGTTCTTATTGGTTTCTTCTGCAGTAATAAAAATACAACATACAGCTTAGCACTTTTTATGACACCCTAAGATGCTTCACATTACATTATTCATTCACTCCATACCCAATGGTGGTTTCCTATAACAGTCGCCACAGCTGCCCTGGGGCTGACTGATTATTGACACCAACACTAGGTTAGTTAACTATGGTTAATACAAAGGACATGGTACAATTGGATACAATGATGGCCCAAAAGAACTTGCTGTTACCTCTTTTATGGTAAAATAATTTAGTTTGAGCAGCACAGGGCACATTCACTGTGTAGAGATACATTATTGTTTATGCTTTAATACATACAATAGCAGGTGTTGAGAATGTGACTCTTTTCCGCTGTTATTTAAATCTGCCTAAAATGGGCAGGTTGATGCTGACTGTTCAAAAAAATTCTTAAGTTCGGTTGTCTCGCCATTTTGCGTATATGACCTGTAACTTAACCAATGCTTGACTCCAGGATAGATACAATTGTTGAATTTCTATGGATCATTTCAAGAATTTATCTAACAATGTGTGCACCAGATCATGTTTTTTGAAGTTTCATAATAACAAAGCAAATGAATCCACTTATACGCATACTACAAGGACTATTGATCTCCACAGTGACCACACAGCCCTTCGACTGCAGACACAATGACAAAAAGACAACAGCACACAAACAGAGATGCAGCCGGGACAAGACAGTGTCCTGAGGCAGCTGTATTTCCTCAACTAGGTCACTCTACCACCCCCCTTTACTTTTAATGTGACTGTCATGTTGGCTATCAAAACTACTGCCTCCACAAACTCATTCTTTCACTGAAAAACGCTGGAGACCGGAACGAGCGGAGTGCTGTCTTTGATCCAGATAGACTCTGATTGTTATGTTAGCGTAATGCAGTCGCACGCACGAGGCTCATGAACCCCATAGCAACCCGAGGTATTACTGCTTGGATGCCCAGACCAGCCTTCAGCTTGATTTGACTTTTAGATCATGCTCTTCCACACATCCACATGCAGTTGACGGGAAGGATCACATCTAGGGATATTCGGTGAGAATGTCCGGGTAAAGATGAAGATGGTCAATGAGTAGGTCTGGGCAATAAGAGGACAAAAAAGAATCATGATTTATTTTTTTATCATATTGATCAACCTCCATTTTTGATTTTTTTCATATATATACTCAATGTATTACAATCAAATATGCAATTTTGAATTAAATATTGTGGAAGGTTGTTCCTGGCTCAGTTTTTCTCTAACATGATGTATTTAGAGGAAGGATTGGGTGATTATTGTCTCTAGTTGATAATCGAGATACAAGTTGGGATTGCAATATTTCGATTTGTGGCCCTGATTATAAGGTTGACTGATTGTAGCTGTTGTTTAGATGTTGTAATGATAATAATAAGGATAATAATATAATATAGAATTTTATTTGTAACACACCTTACATATGCAGACACATCTCAAGGTGCATTTACTGACATTTACTGTTATAATATAGAACTATATTATATAAGTAAGCTTGGCAATATTGGCAAACATTATTGTATTGCTAGCTATAACTATATTTATGCTATTATAAATCAAGCATTTTACATCATGGTTAACAGGCCAACAATTTGGTATTTTTTGTCAATAGAATTCTGTCATTACAAATATACATATATTTTTTACGCTTTTAGCAATGCATTTTCAATTATTTACTGTTTTATCATTATTCTAATTAATTTTGGTGGCAAGAGCTCTGGTGTGTGTCGTCTGGTGCACACTGGGGTAGTCTTGCACAGTTTTTCCTATGTGGTTTTACTGCAAATGGCAAATAAATGAATCTGAATCTGAATCTGAATCTGAATCTTTTGTATTGAATGCAATCATAACTAATGCATTCAGTGCCAACGAGCCTTCTTGCATGGCCAATAACGCAGCGGATCTGTATGGAGCATCGATAAGTGAAGCAGCTGCAGGGGAGACCATAAGACCTGAGAAAGCAGGCCACATTATCTGACTTCACACGGGTGTCCTAGTTTCAGCCACGTCACTTTAAATGGTCATCACTGAAGCTGTCAGTCTGGCCGGTCTCATGACCTCTGCACAACACTATAATCTATGGTCTGTTATATCACAGTCGTTCAAGCCAAGAAGGATTTTCATAAAATAAACTCAAGAAATGCTTTAGGAGCCTCTAGTAGCTGTGCCCTCCTTCTGAGACCACACTTTAGCTCAGTGGAAACTGTGATTGATGTGGTTAAGTGATGGTTGCAAAGGAAGTAAGCACATTGTTGAATACGTGAGAATTTTGAGCATTATCAGCTCGTGACTCACTTCTGAGACTTACTTCTGAGACTCCAAATGCATCAAAAGTGGAGTAAAGTTGAAATGATCGTTTGAATACATCCTTTTCTCACCATCTTAAAAACATATGTCGTTGTTATAGAGATGGACCTGTATATCGGTTTCAATTTGTTTATGAAATATCTTACTCCAGTTGGCCGATATGCTACCATGACATGTTACACCTCTTTGCAAAGCAAATTTTCTTCGGTTGGTTCGGTTCTGTTTTGTTTCATTCCAAGCTGGTCACATGTACTCGTTCTGTTCACAAAAGTAGGATGTACAAATAAAATATTAACGGCTTATTAACCGAGCGCGAGGTCTGTATGGAGAAATATCAGACCGTGGCCTTAACGTACAGACCGAGCCGTGGCGAGGTCTGTGCAAAAAGGTCAGGGTCTGATATTTGTCTGTACAGACCGAGCCGTAAGCAAGGTTAATAAATGTTTTATTATATGACTGTTACGACCCGAAGGACAAAACATATTTTAAGGACACAGAGACAGGTTTAGAGTTCAAACATAATGATTTTATTTGTACATGTTCTTTTAACCGAACTCTATTTTGTTATTATGAATTAATATAAATATTAAAGCAAACCAACCCCGTGTCCAGAATACAAAAACCCAAAGTAATCAAATTAAAGGTGGACCTGGTGGGCCAGCCAAAACAAACAAAAAAATGGGCCGACACCGAACCAACCCTATACAGGGCCGTCCGGATCCGATGCCGGCACCCTAACTAAAGAATAAACAAAACCCAACTAGCTACACCCTCCAACGAAAATGTAACCACCGGACCCACCAGATCAAACAAAAATAAGGACAAGGAAGAAAATGCTAACCAACTAGCTGAAGAAACAACCAAACGATGCGGCGTCTGGGGAGGCCGCAAACCAGGACTAGGAGGGAGCGCGCCGCGCGTGCACACTCACCTCAGCAGGTTTTGCAAAAGGCAGAGCAGAGAGAGGGGCGGGAGCGCACCAGGACAGCGCTTCTTATACTCCCGACCCGAGCTGCAAAATATACAAAATAAGTTATAAAAAACGTTATCAAAAATGCAACCTATAAAATATACTTATACAAAACACAATCTTACAAAAATAACTATAAAACCCAAAAAATACCTGGACAAAAGAAGATAAGATAAAACCAAAAGGGGGGAAAAGGTGCCCAAACATAACAATGACTCTCGTCTGTGTCTTTACCAATGCTTTTGAGATATTTGTGAAGTATGTTCATGTCCGACTTGGTTTTGTGTGATACGCGCTGCGGACAGATTGTCATGGTAACGGTCCGAGGAAAGATATCAGATATGATACGCACTGTTCAAATCAATAGTCATGGTAACGGTCCGAGATGGGAAAATATCAGACCGGTAATCAGCCAATCAGAGCGCGCGTACGGTCCAAGTCATATAATAAATGTCGGTATCTTTGATTTCCTTTGAGTTAAAATAAGACTTTTCGCATGAGTATCATCAAGGTATTATGTAATAAACTCTAAAGATGTCCTAACTTGCTAACTCGCTCATTAGCACCTCCTCTTTTTCTGCAGTATGCCTTTTATTCTATTTGTATTTATTTTTTTACAAAACCAACCATTTAAATCTGTCTTTTAAATTCAAACTGGCCATCGTACAGTCAGACTTTAAAAAGTCTGTATCCCATACTGGTTTTAATTATATTGTTTTTAGTGATTTTTTAGTGATTTGTAGTAAGTTTTTAGTGATTTTAGTTTAGTCATTAGTGATGTGTTAAAAATATACTAATCGTACAATTGTACCTGCAACATAATCAGTAGGTCAAATCACTTTAATGATGTGTATCTTGTTGCACCTAAAACTATATTGTATTTGTGTGTAACTGTGTGAATTAAACCATAGTTTACTTGATATTTACAGTTTTGCCTCTTGTATTTGTCTGGTGCAGGAAAGACCAGCACCTGGTGTCCACAGTGAACGGCTGGTACCTGGTTCTAGAGCAGACGCGCAGAGAGAGCCGCGACCACGCCACGCTCAGCGACATCTACAACAACAACGTGATTGTGCGGCTTGCCCACATCGGAGAGGATGTCATCAGGCTCTTCAAAAAGGTCAGGACGAAACATTAAATCAGACAGAAACATGTATTGTTGCTGACATCAGTGAGGTTTTAAAAAGCGCTGCATTATGCTGGTCACATGTCACATGTTGGTTTCCATTCGTCTATAGAATGGTGTGATTTTTGTCCTGCTCTTTCCAAATCAACTTGCCTTCAGCCATTTTCAGCAACTTTAAAGAAACTCAGCGGACAAATGTCCTTGTTCATACAGAACAGAAAAGTACATTCTTTGAATAAAAAATACTATAGAGGGTTTTATTTCCCATGCATTCTTACAGCACTAGTGTTTTGTATTGTACAGTTCTTTACTGTTGTACAATTTGCTGAATTATTTCCAATGTACGGTATTGTTTTATTTTGGAATTGGGATAATATGAGCTTTTGTGAACCAGTGTGTTGGTGCAGGTTTGAAATAACATATGGCTGCGCTACAGTTGCCTCCCCACAGATCAGAACTATAACTTTACCTGATTCATTACATTCTTGTCTCCATGGCGACAGACACATGTGGGACAAACTTGGCAAAGCAGACTCCACCAGAAAAGTTATCATGTGTCTTTTCACTAATCCCTGTAGTCTCCCGGGAGATGAGGCATAATTATTTGGGTCTCTTTGTATGTCCATATTCTAAATGATGGACCACAAGTGTGACAAAATCCATCTTCTGTGCATAACTCTTTTATTTACGCTTATTTTCTCTCCTCCAACACTTCTCTAAGCCCCACATGGTGCTCCTGATTTACAGCTGTGGTGGAGTCTTTGCCTTTGGGATGTTAGATCACTATCGTTTGACAGCAGCAGGACTTTCCTTTAATTTATGCCCTGCCCACGTGGAGCACTGGAGGGAATGAGGGGGCTGCTACTGATGAGCGCTGGGAGCAAAAGGGCACATTGTAGCCCACACAAAGACCACGACAAATAACCTAAAGGCCAAAATCTGCAAAGTGACACAAATGATAACAAGTCCATAGTAACAGTCATCTAGTTGTGCTGTCACATTCACACCACTGCAGGGCTAATGAATTACAGATGTGGTGCAGGAATGAGTCAGGCCTGGAGTGTGTCAAGCTAAAGTAAGAATATGCTTATTGTGCGAAACTTTGAATCCCTGTCACACGCACCACAAAATGCTCCGCTGCTGTTTTGACGAGTGGTCCCCGGGAAATATAACAAAAAGCAGGATTGATTGGCGCTAAGTGTGGTTGTGTAGCGTCTCTGCTGGATTGTTCAGAGCCACGCTTCAGCGGGTCTTAAGCCTCGTCACGGGACATGTCCGCTTCATCATCGGCTCTTAGCTCCTGTAAAAGAGACGGGCTGCAAATGTGCCGCAGTTACCGCTCCTCCTGTCTCGGCTATTTTTGTCTTTGTGAGCACTTTGGGCATTGTGTTAGGCCTCCTCTGGTGCGGGCCATGATAACGCTTTACTGACAGGCATATGCTAGTCATAACAAGAGAAGGCATGCCTTTCCATACCAATGAGTACCAGCAGGCAGATGTGACAGTAACGTCTTTAGAACGGTACAGTTTTAACCTGAAGATTTGAGGAAGTGGGTTGAGTCAGGTTGGAACTAAAACCTGCAGCCACACGGGTCCTTTATGGAACTGGCTTGACATCTCTGTTCCAAACAATGCAATACAGAACAAAACAATTTTTAAATTCAATTTTCCTCAGCTACATATTTAAATATTATGGTTCAGCATCTATTACACAATAAAACAGAAAGCCACTAATACTATGCTGGTGCATCAACTGATATACCATTATTGCTTATCTGTAGTATAACTAATGGCATCTAAGTGAATGAGATATGAGGGCGGCACGGTGGCTGAGTGGATAACACTCTCGCCTCTCAGCAAGAAGGTTCTGGGTTCGAATCCTGGTCGGAACAGGGCCTTTATGAGTGGAGTTTGCATATTCTCCCTGTGTTTCGGGGTGAATGATTGTGTGTTTGTGAGTGCGAAATGTGGGACAACAGATGCAAATTAGCCCATGACTACAATTCGTGTAGTTGGATTAACATGTACTTTCCCAACCAAATAAACAATAAATAAATTATGGCAAAGACAAGAAATGAGTTGGTTTTGTTTTAATTGATATTATTGCTAAAATGGTCCATATTTGAAAAAGAATAGGAGTATAAAAAGACAATACACTCAATCAGTCCAAACAGATCTATAGGTGATGGAGTATTTCTGCCCAGTGCATTCTCAGAGCAGAGGCATTTTACAGTTGCTCAGAATCTTAATAATGATGTTTTCAGACACCTCCAGCTGCTCCTTGAATCTATAAGTTAGGTTTTGTATAAGCGCCCCCCAAGGCCCAGTTCACCTGAGCCTGAAGACATTATTGTAGTCCGCTGTGAGTTTGTGGAAGGGCCGTGACTCTTCTTATTTGATCAGATGTTGAACCTCCTCAGTTGCGTGTTTGCCTGGACGTAAATTTTACATACATGCCAAGATTGTACTGTACAGTCTCTACATGTCTCTGTCACCTCAAAGAATGTATAGATAACGAATAGGTGGCATGGTGGCACAGTGATGAGTGGTTATGTTTCCATAGCAAGCATGTCCTGGGTTTGATTCCACCTCCAGGCCTAGCTTTGTGGAGTTTTCACGTTCTCCCGGTGTCTGCGTGGGTTTCCTCCAGGCGCTCCAGTTTCCTGTACACTTAAAAACAAGTACAATAATCCCCCACAACACCCTCTTGTCCTCTCTGAAAAAGAGGTTTTGTAATCTCAGTGGGACTTTTAAATTGTACCTCGAGTCTGTGATAAAGTTGAATTGAATTGTCTGGGTGAATTAAGGTCAATTAAAATGGAGTGTTTGTTTATTTGGTGAGAGCAGGAGGCTGACCACAGAGCTTTAAATCAGGGAAGACCAAATGTTTGTCTTTTCTGCTTTTCTCAATCGTCCTAACAGCTTCTGTATGCCCACACTATAAAGACTCATGATTACAAGGTCGTCTGCAAACACAAGATGGTTGATTACACTGGTTACAACAACACACAGCTCTTGTATGCCTGAATGTAGAAGTCGGAAACTCTAAGGCTGTCATTGACCAAATTATTTCCTGGTCGACTAAAACATGGCCTGCTGATGTATGTTTTAGTCCAATAAAAACACAAAGCAGATGAAATATTGTCTCAACTATTATGTGTAATATATCTAACCCATAAAGACCACACTCATGTCTGTGTGGAGTGGGAGACAAATGCCCACAATTGCAAGGTGTTTTGTGACTCTGCCCTGTGAAAGGCGCTAAATAAATAAAGATTACTTACTTATTTACACTCTAGACCTTATGTTAATGAAAATACCCCTATTTATTATATTTATAATATTTTGGACCAAAAAATATGGTAAATCTGCTCTTATTACGATACTATCTCATTTTCTTTTGTAGTTTTACCATAGAATTCTTACCGTTAAAATTCAATATTTAGCTGTGTAGTAAAGTTTAGATCACCAGTGACGGATTAATCAAATAAAAAAAAGCAAAAATTGAATATTTTGTACTATTTTTGATCAAAACCAAAACTGGCAGAAGATGCTATATGATCTCTATTCTTTAGTTCTTTTTTCATTCAAAAGAAGACATTAATCTCCTTTGTCTACTGATCATGTTTCATCCTGCATAATTTTTGTATATAATCACCTGGTTCTTGTTCCATCTTGTGTGTTCAGGTACAAATTACACACTGGTTTGTGAGTTATCAAATTCATATGTATATTGAGTTTATTAGTGTTTTAACATTCATCTCCAAGATAGCTTTGTGAATAACTATTGAAAAACCTAAAATAGATTAATAACATTGCATTGTACTTATCTGTTCTTTCCACAGAGCAAAGACATTGGTGTCCAGATGCACGAGGAACTTGTGAAAGTCACCAATGAGCTCTACACTGTGAGTAAACCCAAACCACTCTGTAAAGCAGCCTGAGATGACGCTTTTATCACTCCCAATGAATGTCAAAGCAATAATAACTCATAATGTATAAAAACCTGTTTATCCTGAATTTAAGACTTGTGTAAAGATGTTCTGAAAGGTGGGTGCTTTGGGTAATTTTCCACAATCAAAGCTGCTTCTCACTGTGCTTAATGAGGACATATTGTACAAAGGTTATCAGTTCAATCATGTTTATGTCATCTTTTATTCTGCTGCATTCAAGCCACCTGTGCTCTGAAATATGTGTGTATAGTGCATTGACAGCGGTGTACAGTCTCCCATCGAAGACCCAGGCCCTGAACCCCGTCCAAACCACACACTCATTATGTATAGTCAACAAATAAATAGGCAAGGCAAGTTTGATTGTATAGCACAGTTGATCAAAGCGCTGAACAAAACAAGACAATTTTAGGCATTCAAATCATAAATCCTTGTTGTACATTAAAAAGACTGAAGATAAAATCCCTCAGTTGTATGCACTGCTTAACAGAACTGTTTTTATCCTGGATTTGAACATTGTCAGAGAAGAGGCCTGTCTGACATTTTTAAGAAGCCTTCCCATGTCTAGTTCTGACTCTGGGCACCAGTAGGAGGTCAGTCCCTGTGCTCCGCAGAGTCCTGGCAGGTTCATATGGGACTAACATGTCACTAATACATTTTGGTGCGAGGCCATGGAGAGACTTGTAACAAGCAGAGCTGATTTAAAGTCTATTCTCTGAGCCACAGGAAGCCAGTGCAGAGACCTGAGAACTGGACTAATATGGTCGTACTTCCTGGTTCTAGTCAGGACTCGAGCTGCTGCATTTTGAATTTACTGCAGGTTTTTTACAGCCTGTTTGGAGAGACCTGTGAGCAGGCCATTGCAGTAGTCTAACCTACTGGAGACAAATGCATGGATAAGAACCAAATACTGTACCAACTCAGTGATGTCTCTAAGATTAAGATTAAGAGATCCTTTATTTGTCCCACAGTGGGGAAATTTCAGTATCCATGGGTTTCAGATTGATGAGAACTTTTGACTGTTGCTGAGGCTGTTAAGTACTGAACTAAGACACTTCACCCACATTGCCTAGAATGAGTCTGGTGTGTTCCTGAATGATAGGTTGATAGGTGGTGGTTGGTGTGGCCGATTGTTTGCCTCGCTTCTGTCAGTGTGCCCCAGGGCAGGCTATTAGTCGCTTTCCACTACTGTGATTGAATGAATGCCATGAGAGGTGTATCCTTCTAAACCTATGATATTATTATGATTAAACCAAATATTGCATAGTCTATCATCAGAGTATAGGAGTATTTTCTCAAAATCAACAACAAGACTGTCACAAAAACACTTTTTTACTGATTGTAGCCTGTTTTTGTTGCCCTTTCTTTCCTCCTTCCTCCGCGTATACAATCTGGATAGAGCGTCGCAGTGCTAAACATATCTCTGTGAGCAAATGTTAAAAAAAAATCATAATCTGAAAATACCTTAGATACTCTTCCTAAATGGTTTGCTGGTTTCTGCTCAGCTCTGCAGCGTTAGGCCTGTGTTATAGCAGCTGCCCATGTGCTCCAGAGAGGGGCTTATCGGCTCCAGGCTTTGAGCAGGTCTCCTCTGCTGTGTTCCCGGGGTCACAGAAGGAGAACATTAGCATTCTTCCTCCCGCTGTGCTGAAGGAGAGCGCGATCTTGCAGCGCTCAGGGCAGAGTCAGCAGTCTGTGTGTGGTAGTTGTGTGCGGTAAACACCAGTGGCTGTGATGGATAATCTCCCATGTAACCAGCGCTATCGGTGTGTGGAGATGGGATAACGTGTCGGAAGGTGCTTTAGAGAAGGATAATTAACAGCTCAATATTCCAAAGATCAGGGGATTCAAAGATTTAATCCCTACCATGAGCTGTAATAACATATGAAACCAATAATAATACCATACAGCTCTTAATCTGACTGCCTGGGAAATGCACTGGTAAATATACAGTATATCAATGTTTCATCAAATCCAATGTGTAACAAGTCATCTCTATGAAGATGTACTCCAGGGGGCTTCTCTTCAGCTTTGTTTTGGTCAAAAATCCCATTTTAACTGACCTCTCTTGATCATGCATCCTTTCTTGTTTTGTTAATGAACAGAGATAAGGCATTATTTTGCTTAGTACTTGAGTCCAGACATTTCAATCAGACTATACAGGATATGTGGAGAATTTCAAAGTGGGTCTATCAAAACGTCTGCGGTTTTGAAATTCATTTTACAGTAAATTATTCACTTGTCCAAGGCATTTCTAGACACTTTCTTTCACATTCTTCATGCACTTTGATTTATATTATTGTCTTTGAAGTTTCAGAGAGACATGATACTTTAACTGCCTGGGAAACATGTAGTGTCTGCAGCTAATGTATTGGTCTACACAGAATGGGGCCAATATATTCATTAGTGTAAAATTGTGAATTTATAGAAGCTCAGTCAATAAGTTAGATAGATAGATAGATAAGTTATTGATCCCCATCGGAGGAATTCAGATGTCCAGTAGCAGCAAAAAATAAATATAAAATTGATAATTCAAAAAAGCTAACAATAGTAATAATCAGGTCACAGCAGCAGAGGTGGAGTAGCCTCTGGGTGGAGCAGGACGGGTCACAGCAGCAGAGGTGGAGTAGCCTCTGGGTGGAGCAGGACGGGTCACAGCAGCAGAGGTGGAGTAGCCGCTTGGATCGGAGCATTTTCTCTGCTCTACTCCAAAGTAAAATGCTGAATGGTCATTAACATTTTTCAAAAAGTTAGCATTCCTCCAGTGGATTTTTTTTTTTGTTGACTAAAATTGGGGCGTTTTCTACTAAATGATTACCTTGTCGGATCCAAGCACGACTCACAAACCCAGAGTTTGACCTGGGATGAATGTAGAAATTGTTGCTGTTTTCACATTGAAATTAATGTAATTGAAATTTAGTCAACTAATAAGACATTTGGTCAATTGCAAAACCAACACCCGGCCTGACGTCTAACTATTCACAGCTCTTTGGCCTTTTAATCTTTCAACATGTATAGTCAAAGTAGCTGAAGTTTTGAGATGTGTTTTACAGTTTATTATTCTCATAAAACTATAACACATTTACCCAAAAACATTTCTATGTAAATTCTCTGACATGGACCTCAATTTAGCTTTAGTTTAATTGTACAGTATATTTGAGTATCTATTTTTGATGATTATTAAACAAAATATCAAATCATATCTTGTTTCATTTAAAGCCACACAAAGACTGATGATATACAACTGAGCCCCACCCCTGCTCTAATCCGATTTGTTCGTCATCACTCGTCTACTAATTAGACAGACCAGTCCATCGCTTCAGAGTCACATATAAAAAAACGAATGAACTTGAGCCGTGATATCGTCTTCATGTTTTGTCTTTAGATTCTTCCAAGTTAAAAGCGTCTAAATGCAAAGTGGATAACTCTTGCAGGTTTTCATATGATATGTGCATGACAGAGCTTGGTACAGACGTATCCATCCGTGTAACATTATCCAGCACTTTACTGTCCTCCTCCAATTGATTTTTCCTCCGTCCGCTTCATGCATTATTAAACATCTTCAGCTCCCAGCAGAAGGAATAGCACCAGACTGTTAAAACCCACTACATTTAGCCTGATGCAATTTCTATTCAACTTTTCACAACCTTCTGTGATAGCAAGTTCCATTGACCTCTGTACTGTGCTGTTTGTTTTGTAATATATAATGTTCTCACTAGACCTGATGTTTTATGTTTTAAGAGTGTTTTTAAAATGATTAAAGAAAGGAACCGCTATAGTTAGAGATTATGGAATAGTTGCGATAGTAGTATCAATAATAGTGTTGGTTATTCCAGTAACAGTGTTATCAAATCATTTGTTGTATGCAGATGATCTTGTTGTGTTCAGTCCAAGCACTGCTGGGCTGCAACAGTTACTTAACATTTGTTCAAGCTATGGCCTGGAGCATGACATTAAATATAATGCAGTGAAAAGTTTGGTTATGATCTGTAGAGCCAAGGAGGATAAGAAGACATCATATCCTGATTTTTATTTGTCTAATGCAAGGCTTCATGTTTCAAACAAAATAAAATATCTTGGGCATATATTGACAGAAGACTTGTCTGATGATGCTGACATAAACAGGCAATGTAGAACGTTGTATGCCCAGGCAAACACGCTGGCGCGTAAATTTGGCTTTTGTACGGACAAAGTGAAAATGATGTTGTTCAAATCATATTGTACACCTCTGTACACAGCGCACCTTTGGTTGAACTATAAAAAAGTATCTTTGCAAAGGTTGCAGGTGGCTTATAACGACGCTCTGCGTGTGCTTCTCAGGAGGCCGAGATGGACCAGTGCGAGTGAGATGTTTGTCACTGCTGGAATAAACACGCTGCAAGCCACACTGCGGACGCTTATGTACCGTTTCATATGCCGTTTGAATAAGTCTGTTAATACAGTAATTGGTTCATTGGTTGATGTCACCTGTAGTGCCATTCGCTATCAGTCGCTAATATGGAGGCACTGGTATAGCTGTCTTTTTAAAGGGACTGTGTAATTTATTTGTTTGTAGTTTAATGTTGTTTGTGATGTCGCTGTCTTTTTTGGACCTTGAGTCCGTAATAAAGTTGAATTGAATTGAATTGAATTGAATGCATCCTCTTTGGTGAAGCATCTTGAATAACTTTGCGTGCAACTTGTAACCTGACTCTCGCCAGACCCTTGTAGTTTGCTGAGCTTCACACAAGGCTCTGGGATTTCTCAATAGAAGATGTATTTCAGAAGGTGGGGTCTTTTAAAAAAGACCATTGTATACTATATGATTGGATAAACCACTTGTTCGTTATCTTGAATGACGTGCTACATCAACCACGCTGCGTGCCACCTTTATTGTTTAAATCAAACAGTTGCTTTGGTGCTACGTCCAAGCCCTCGTGATCCAACATGGCGTCCTATTCAAATCAATGACTTGTGCT